CTCGGTCGTTGGGTGTAGATAATATTTATGGTCATAGACTCCAATTCAAAAATGGAATGTGCAGGGTAGTATCTTCTATCTTACGAGCATACCCGTCTTTATTCCAAATTTATGACAAGGCTCGGCCAGAACAAAACTGCAGAGAGAGGAACTCATGAAGAGAGATTGCTTGATGGGAGATAACGTTGATCACTAAAGTGATCATTCCACGCAGGTGGCCTGAGCAAAATATAGAGAATCATTTCTCATTGATACATTTAGTGTATTGAGCAATGATAAAATTGTACCATTAATCAAAACTACTAGCAATTTTAAAACTTAATGATACTTTGAAATAACTGCGAGACAACTTAATTAATCATTAACTAGATAATTAATTTCTACAATTATAGTATACCTGTAATTATAAATAGGTTTTTTTTAGTAACAAAATGTACAATACGCTCCTTTCATACTTTTAAATTCAACTATGTTCACATTATAAAGAATCGTCGTATCTTTGAGATTTTGAACAAAAAAATGATTCCTTATTATGCTTCAATAGTTTCCTATTAAGAGATAATACTTATTATTCATCAATGATTGTAGCCAAAAAAATACTGTCGTTACATTACGGCAGCGCCCGCAATTTGTAGTTAGCAGTATAGAAACATGAAAAATATACCAACGGTTGTTTTTTCATTTCTAATTATAGCGAAACGCACAAAAAAATTAATCATAACTTCCTACTTCTCAAAAATAAGTTTCATTACCACCGTTTCGTGCAAGTTTCGTAACTCAGTAAAGACACAAGGTATCATATGATTTATTTTGTGTTTATATTTTCAGGCATTTTTAACCGAAAGACAAAATAAATATTTTATGCAGATGTCAAATTTACAATTTTTACTATAAAATTTTCAAAATACCCTCAACAATTATTTGAAAATACGCTCCGCATAAGATTTAAATAATTTTGTTACCCAATTGGATTTTAATGATTAAACCGAAAAAAGAACCCATGACTATGTGTTTCACAGATATTGAATGTTAAAAACATAAAACGCACTATGTTTTATTACTTAGAAATAGAGTTATTTATAAAATAAATAACTGATAGAATGTGAATTCAACTATATTTGGAAAAAAATCAGGTTATTAATCCTAAATTAAAATTAAATGTGGTCGGTTATTTGAGAGACAAACTCAAAAACTTGTCCTACTAATATATTTTGATTTAGGTACATGAAACTGTATACGAATTGACAGATATAATTAAGACTATAAAGTATAACTTGTGTAAATAATATTTAAATGAACATATTTTGACAATAATACAAAAACTAAAATGAATTAATTAATATAGCTCCAATTATCTATAGATTATTATTAATGTTATTACATTAATATTCTAGTATATTAAAAAAAATTACATTCATATTATGGCTTATAATTGAATCCAAAAATAGTAGAGAAAATAAAGAGGATGAACTATAAAAACATATTATTTTTCCTGAATGATTTTAAAACTTATTTCGCAAAATTATAATTTCTGATAGAATCAAAAATGTTTACATTCAAATTTTGTTGAAGTTTTTTCTAAAAGACAATTAATTTTATTTCTTCTTCTTCATATGTATTTCTCAATTTTCAGTAAACACTGACATTCGTTGCATCTATCTTTAAATTAAAAAAACTTTTATTAATCTTAGTCTTGATTTAAATTAGGTAATTAAATAAAAATAGATATTTAATATAATTTTCACTTACGTGTGTCTAACATACTAACTTATTAATTATACAGACTTAATTAAGTCTCTATAGGATACGATAGATCAATATCTTCATACTAAAGTCCAATCTTTAATATATTATTCTCAAACATTTTTATTTTATCTTTCTGAATTGTATTCTCTTATAACTAAACACAAAAATATTTGTTAATATACATTATCGGAATTCCTCGATTTTTTGTATTTTATTTTTTATGCATTATCTAAGAATTCGTTTAGTCATATAGGAAGATAATAAAAATAAATTTAACCAAAAGCATCAAAAAAATATTTAAATCATTGATTCTGTTTTTATAATATATCGATTATTCCAATTTTTACCTATTTTCAGTCCACAATTTTTAAATATTATAATTAATTGAATTTATAAAGCATAATCTATGATAAGAATTTAAATTATTTTTTCAATATTCATCAAAGGTATCATAATTATACTAGTTCTTCAACTATTAATGGCTAAACTATAAAGTTGTTAAATCAATATCAAAAAAGATTAGACCGGTTTTGTCGAATAATAGCATCAAGTTAATCTGCAGCAATTAAAATAAATTTACACGTCTTAAAAAAATAAGATCAACATCATTATTATTAACAGTATATTACACTACGATTTTATCAGTTTTCACAAACTAGTGATATTGATCCTTGTCAGCAGAAGGTTGATCTCTCCTATATATATCTATTATGGTTACAATAAATTAAAGAATATATAGGTAAGTGGTATATTAGAAGACATAAAATACCCTTCACCTTAAGCAAATACTTAGATTAATATAGTGGGCAATTTTGTCAGTCCCAGCCAACAATTCACAAATAAGACAATTATCTTTTTTTTGCAGATTGCAGATTTTCATAAGAAATTGCGTGTATATTATAGACTATACACTTTATTATTATTATGCCCAATTATTTTATGTCATATTTTCTCTAAAAGCAATAGTTCTTATCAAAAAATAAATTATTAGAAATATAATATATTTCTTAAACACAATTGAATTAACATATTAATTTAATCGTATTACATTTTACATAAATAACTTTGTGAATTTTATTAATATTTTCTTGTTTAAGCAATAAAATTATTCGAAGGTATCAAATGACTCAAGAAGTTATAAGCTACACGGGAGAGATCATTCAACGATTGACCAAAGAAGAACTTGTAATTTTCCTGGAAAAAATAACAGTATTAATTGCAACAAGTTTTGTGTGTTGTGTAGAAGTTATTTTACAGGCGCCCTACTTGTAAGTTGAAATAAAAGATGAACCAAAAGGAAAAAGAAGGCATTAAAAATTATTTTCAAAAAACTTAATGATTTTGACAAATTTATTTATACAGCGCTGTTAATGCGAAACAACTTTACGGTCAAAAACCGGTTCACCATATTGTCCTAAAAACAAAACGCCTATAAAATATTTTGCTAGCTAAAGATATTTGTACTATGTAAATTGCACAGGGGAAAAGGGACGTATAAAATAAGTGGTTACATATAATAACTCAGAACAGAATTTTAAAACAAAACAGTTAAGGGAAATGCAGCCTAACAGGTTTTTTATGGTCATTGATCTCAACAGTTCATTGTTTATCTTATACGTGATATTTTCAAAGCACTATTTAAGTATGTATAGAATTTTGTAAAAAAATAATTAGATTAAATTATAATTATCAAAATTGTGTTTGAATAATACTATATAACAAAAATTGATTCCTGGTGGGTAATTTTTTAAAATTATAACAAACATTTTTATTTAAAACTAAAATAAATATTTAACTCAAAAAGCCACAAAAAATAATTACTAAAATAATACGGATACGTATCTCGGAAACAATGTTACCATTATAAACGCTAAATACCATTAAAACCATTAAACTTATTAAAAACGTAATTAAGTACAAATAATTCAATATAAGAGAAGTAATATAAAATTAAAAAATAAATATCCGCGATTTTTTTTTTTAGTTTTAAAATTATATTTTTTACATAATTTTAATTTTTAATAATACTATCCATATTATCTATACTTAATATTATTAATATATTTTCATGAGATTATGAGTATTATATAGAAATAATTTTTTACTAATTAATCGAGTAGATATGTTATCTGTTAAGTTGTCATTTCTTAAGACAATCTATTGAAAGGAACTAATTTAAATATTAAGTGTTATATAGAACTGGCGTGAGGATAAGAAGACGATACAGACATAAAACGTTTGACAGGCTCAGAAAGACTAGAAGAAATTTCAAAAATCCGATATTTAGTCAAAATTATATTTGCATTGTTATTGATAAACTCAATGGTCACTCAATTTTATATTAATATAGCCCATTAAAATGTTTACCTAATGTCCGCCTGTGGTATCAGACACTTGGGCGGCAACTGAATATCAAAGGGTATCTTTTTTTATATGTAAGAGTATACGAATACCTCACACCGACCTTACTCATTCACTTTACTCAATCAAATGACCAAAAAATTCTGTCTTATGATATCTATACAGTAATAGCAAATTCAATTCAATTGCGGTTCGAACAATGTTTATACTTTGTGAAAAAATCTAACGTTCGAATTTACATAAAACAAAATATGTGTCAAATAATTATTATTAATTCTTTGGCTTCTAATGGTTTTTCTTTCTTTACGGAAAGCCCAATAATACCAATACAAAGGAATTTCATTGATACTTAACGATTTAAAAACATTGCAAAAAGAAGTTCTGTCGAGATGTGTTTACATTTACATACAATTTGTTTAAATTGTGTCGGAAAACTTTGTTTGTAAAAAAAAAAAAAATTAATGCGCCAGTGATGTCATTCATAGGCTATGCCTAAAAGGTGAAAGACTATCATCTATCAACAGCGTCGGCGTTTCCCTCGGGCAGTAGTTAATATGTAAACATAAACATAAAATGTGGTTAGCCACTAATTGATCACTACCGGTACGGTGCACTGTCAGTGTCGTGCCGCCGAAGAATTGTATGGGAACTAGTCCGTCAACGTCACAGCTCAACAAGCGCATGTGACGGCCCCTCGCTCGCGGTCCGGTGGCGTCTGAAGAGATGCTGCTCCGGATGATTCTTTCGCCCACTCGTTCGCGCGCTACCCGCCGTGCCGGTCTTCAGGTGGGTGAACGACTAGACACTGGCACGCGCTCTGACTCCCACTTTTTTTTAAGAACGGGACGGCCGAGGAGAGGGAAATTTTCACGTCCCAACGTGTGTCGGGGACCATCATCTCTCATTGGGTCGAGACGCTCAACAATTGTGCTATTCAGTCCATCGCCAATGGTCACGTGTCACGCGGCTCGTATTATTTTTTGGCGCGATTCGTTTTTTCACCGAATCGACATCCTCCACACCTGACACGCGTTGTCGCATATCATAACGACTCGCGCGAACTTGTTCTTAATTTTAAGTATAAAACATTTTTTTCCCTTTTTCATTTCATAAGAGTTTTAATTTAATATTTTATTTATTTAACGCCGCGTCAAACAGAAAAACAGTACGTATTTACACATTTTCTTTTGGCCATTTTTGTTGTTTTTGTGTGTGCATCAAGAGTTTTTGTTTTTGCTATAATAACATCCATCAAATTGTTGCCGTTTACACGTTTGTTTCACATTTATAATGAAGGTATTTATTACATAAAGCTAAGTGAAATAGTAATAATAACTTAAAATTGTTATTATTGCTAAGTAAACGCCAACGTATGAAATGAACAAGCTCAATCTTTTAAATATTCTGTTGTCAATATTATTATAAAATATTATTTCTGAAATATCTTCAAACAGTTAATCAGTCGCCGATTGTTATTCTGTTTAAAGAACAGATACCTACTTCTGTTTAAGAAGTAGGTATCATTTCCATGTAGTTACAACAAATATTTATACAAATTACAACTAGTAGTATGGTCGGAAGATGATTGTCCAAAGTTTTTGTTGTGAAAATTTCAACTTTTTCACTGATTAGATATTTCAGTTGAACGACTTTTTTTTTAATTGTACTTTTGTGACAAAATTTATCTAAAGATATTTAACCACAAAGTGCCCTTGATTGAGATTTAGCAGAGAACAACGAAATTAAAAAGCATTGTCGGACATTTTTTTTTCTCGTAAATTTACATAGTGGTTAACCCTACACTTATTTGTAATCGTTCAATTATGAATGTGCATAATTAGAACTTCAAATTGAGTAATACTTGTGCATACATTGATTTCATAGTATGAAATTAATTTACCCATTACGTACACAATCTATTGTGGGTACAAACTGCTATGGTAGCCGTCGATGTTTGGTCTCTCGTGTATCCCTTGGAACTGTTCGCTGAATTTACATACCTTTTTTATAAATCGAGGGAGTTCGATGAACTCTCGGAGGAAAGTTTTTGTAGGATGCGTTTGGCGTATATGACATATTATAAATATACATGCGGTATCAGTGTATTATATATACTTAATATGTAGAACATAAAAACAGTAGGTATAATAAATAATTTGCGTAAAAGTGAAAATGTATGTTTCGTTGAAAAATTATCAAAAAATATTGGACGCGGATCCATTTTGAATTGTTCAAAAAGTAGCTAAGCCTGTTTTTGGACGATTTAAAATATTATGAAAAACCGGTCGGAATGCGCCGACGACAGATATTTTTTACGATAAAGAAGCATTATATTACTATGTATTCAGGTTAGTTTGTCTTTGCGAATCAGTAAACTTACATTCATCATTAAAAAAAAGTAATTTTTTGAGAATTTCAACTTGTTTTCACAGATAGATTAATTAATCATCGTAGTTTGAATGTAACACCCATTTGTAAGTCATAAGCACCAATTCGTTTCAATAGTTGGAGCTAAATAAGAAAAAGTAAGGTTGTGGTAGGAAAAACTTAATTAACTAACGTCTTGATACTTAATAGTAATGGGGAAAAATGATCTTAATGTATTGACAACCTACCTAGCTCAGTCAGTAACGCGTCGTGCCTTGATGAGAAGGTACGGGGGTTCGATTCTTTTGTGATGAGCTTTGTGGATTTCCCGTCCTCTCTGGTACAAGCGTTAACTTTAAGACAGCATGTTAAACATGAACATAAACAATAATAACGAAATGGTCATTTTATCCAATGACGGGGCTAGGATTTTTCCCAATAATAATTGCAAAGGTTCCTGTGCCAGGAAGGAGGGGATTGAAATAGATTCCCCCAAAATATGATTACGTGATGAAGATACAATTTTTTTTCTCGTGCATATCTCCTAAAAAGTAAAACCTTAACATTACTATGCACAGGGCATCATGGAGCGCGGGGTCCGGAACAAGTACCCCACTTGCCCGACCTTGTGCCGGCTCTGATTGTATCAAAAATCACGATAGCTAATTAACTTAATAAGGTGCAGTTAACTCGCATCATTAATTTTGTCAAATTACTCTGTTTCTCCCTTTTACTAGTAAAAGCGGTTGTATTGATTTTTTTTTAATTCGCTACATATTTAATTTCAACAAATAAAACCTATTAAAAAAATGAAGATATATAAAACTATCTAAAGCATTAGTTGTGCTTCGTAGCGAGCGTACAATTTTAAGCAATTAAAAATGTACATTGAACAACAACAGCAGACAATTATTCGAATCTCGAGACGAGGAAAACGTCGTATTTAAATTTAGAATCTGTTTATCTGAGATACGTTCAGACAACAATTTTATAGTTGTGTCAGGTCAGTTTTGTTTTTGGCTTTTAACGTACTTACAATGTGACAATAGTGTTTATTACTCATAATTTCTCTGGTGATAAAAAAAGCATCAATCAAATTCAATTATTTTCTTTTGTCTATGTTTAATTATTTGTCGTAAATCACAATACCTTCCTGAAATTGCACGTTAATTTGATGAACTGTGTTGTTATAAGTTGTTTTACTACCTTAATTATCACTTCAATATTCGTCCACACGCAAAATTTAAGTTGAAATTCCTAAACCCATTGTAAATTTCTCTAACACATGCAACTCTTACGAACTGTTGTACATTTCAAGGTGTTGCAAAGACCGTTAGGCGTTTTCTTTTGATTTACAAATGGTAAGTGATCATCAGTACCGTCGGAAAGGCAAAGCCACAAATGCACTTTCCTCACAAGCGTATATAAAAAACAATACAATTTTAATTCAAAAATAGTCATTAGTCACCATTTAAATATTAACGAAAAAGCTTTGAATTTAAAATGTATCATTGGTTTATTCTTATTGCTAATTCGTCAAAAAAATACGTTATGATATTCAAGAAAAGCAACACAAAACGTATTCCAACGTATAAAATATTACTTAAAAGTAATAAAAAAAAATTTATGATTTTGAATAACATTAATTTTAAAGTAATAGGATTATAAGTTCCAATCATTAAGGAATATGTCAAATAAAAAATACTAAATAGGCTTATTTTTTTCTATTAAATTCATTTTCACACAAATCCATGAGAACCCTAACATTTTTTTTTTTTAGTAGATATACAGTTTACTTATGTCATTTTTTATTAGTTAGACAATAGACAAACTGGTTGTAAACGTTATTTAACCTAAACAACTTTTAAAAATATCTATTTTATTTTATTTTATTAACTAATTATTAAAGTTAGATTATCGATGTCTTATTGATACATGCCATCTTAATATAATTCTTATTTCCCAAAATATATTTTTGTTAAAGAAAGTTTTTTATTATGTATTTACAATAAATACAATAAGTAAAAGTACTGAAGTATATGGAAATAACATGAATATTATAAATAAGAAGCTCTCGTTAGAACCCCTCACAATAATAATAAAATATTTACTAACATATGTATAACATAATGTGTGTCTCATGAAAACACTAATAGATTTAAGCTTAATACACTTAATACATATATTTTGTGTATCAGAATCAAAATACACCTATTTTATAGTTTGCGAACTACAAATCTAACATTAGAGCAGTTCGATTTTCTAAGAAAATTTTAAGGAATCTCTATAAATGTAAACAAGTATGATCATTTTTTGAATCTACATATCGTAACAACTATAAATACTTCCATAATTTATACTTTGTACTGTCAAATGTATATTTGTGATAAATGAATTGGTCATTTTTTAGAAAAATAATTGGTCATAGGTGAAAATTACGGGGAAGGAGCTTCAAATAAAATAACGAAAAGTTTCTCCTGAAACAAAATATTTCTTCGGTTTATTTGTTTCAGTCAAAACATTTTCATGACTTTTGAACAATATTTTGAACTTATTTATGCTGTGGCCTTTATAAATAGTATTGATGGTAATTTCAAACAGTCACGAAAGTTGTTCAAGTTTAAGATTTTGCTTTCAATCCGATAACACATAAGTGTTAATAGACATTCTTTCTAGAAAAATTCTTTTATTTTCTAGTTTGCTTTGTTGTTGTTGTTGAAATCATCTGCGCAAAATTATTACAATTCCAAAAATTTCAAGTACGCTCGAACTAAAACAAAGCGTTTAATATTACCAATTTTAAAATAATTACATTTTAAAATGTTTCCGTCAATTAAATTGATATCAGACATCACTAGTTTTTCGTTGTCCGAAAAAAAACAAAGTGTTTTATCAAAGATCCCCCTTATATTGAAATTATTCCAGAAGAGGAGGAGTAAAATCTATGAGTGACAAAAAAAAACTACACAACGCGTAACATGCTTACTACCTGGGGCTCGATCGTTTTTTCGCGTTCATTGACTTGGAATATAAAAAAAGAAAATTCGTTACATTGTTATTGGCATGCAACTTAAAAAGAAACATCTCTGCAATATCGCCGTTGCTATTGCAACTTCTGACGTACGCCTGTGCGTGTGCAAGTTTTTTTAACTTGGACGGCGGTGGCGAAAAAAAATGAGCGGAACAGAAGACGTTTATAAAGAACATTGAAACGCATATACATATTAGCTTTAGTAAAAACGGCAATCGAGTATCGACATTAAAACGGTATACGTATCTATTTTTGGTTAACTTGTCGAATGAGCCGTCTCCGGCAACCACAGCACTTGCAGCTGCATCGACACACGTGTGTAAGTGTTTATATATGCAAATAAAATGCAACTCTAATACACACACACTTAACAAAAGAGTAATGACAAAAATATAGTGTCGAGTTTCTAAAAAAAATTTATTTATTTATTTTAGCATGAAAAATGTGATATATGTAACGAAAATATTACCAACTCCTTTTTTTTTTTTTATGAACTTTGGAATTTAACAATTGGCAATGTAACATTTTCATGTCTCCAAAGCAATTGATTTCATTTATTTTTGTTAGTTTTAAAAAATTTAGTACTTTTTATGAACATTGTTTCACTGTAAATGATCTTTTTTGAGCCGCTGAACAGACCAATTTATAAAATGCAACAACTGATGAGATAGACACGATCGCAATTTATTCCGGTCAATGACGTTAAACGGCTATTAATACAATTGTACAATATACTTGCAAAGATTATCTGGTAATTATATAATGCAGTTTTTGAAATGAATAAGTACTAGAAAGTACTACCAGAACAAAAAAAAACACTCGATTTGTAATAACTTAAGTCTATGAAATACGATAGTATAAGCGAACTCGTCATTTTCATCATCTTTTTTTTTGATTCATCAATCATCAAATAGTAAAAGTAAGAATAAAAATTACTCACTTAAAACATAGAAGCAAATTATTTTATTTTTTTAAATATAATTTTTCCCTTTATGGTTATTTCACCAATATAACTTCATACATAAATACAAATATAGACTAAAATGAAATAATTAGCAAGACAGTAATGATCTAATAACTCTACTTAAGATTACTCTTTTTCAGTATGATCTGTGTATGAACTATTTAAATAAAGAATAATTTATGTTGAATATTATATAATTATATTCAAAGTGACTTATAAAATAGACTAAAATAAAATATAAAACATTTTGTACTAAAATTTGTTGGATTTCTCTGTGCGAATTCCATCCAATTTAACCGGTTGATTTAAGAGCCAATTTTTTAGGAAGAATTTTTTTCTCGTGATTGAATATATAAATTTTGAGATAAAATTAATAATAACAATCGAACAATTCTATTCTAATCTTTTTTCAGTAAAATCTTTAACAATCGTACAGGACAGAAAACACATGATAACTTAAGTTACAAAATTGAGTTAATTATCTTAACTTTGTAATAAGTTTTTACAAACTTAAAGTTACAATTTTACCCTGAATTCGCAACATTTGGTACGGGACATCCCTTTAAATTTGTCACTTTGAGCTATCACTTGATAAAGTTATATTTTATTACCACTGCACATCCATTCGTATAACTATAGAATATATGTCTATATAAATTTAAAAAAAAACTGTAATATTATGCCACAGCTAAAAATTTTAGAACCCCAATTCAATTAGAATTATTTTAATTTTGATCTACAAGTAAAATCCTTTTTCCAGACAATTGATTTATATTAGTTATATCTAAAATGACCCTTCGGAGAAGTTACATAGAAGTAGCATTATAATTTAAATAACTTTAATTCTTCTTTTGACATTTTATTTAAGGCCATGTTTACTTAAATGTATTTAAATGCATTCGAATTAGATTTATTTCTGAATGAAACAACTGCAATATATTTTAGTCATAATTAATCAAATTACAATTACGTTACGATGAGTAATGAGTTTAAATAATAGATATCTCAATTATAACGATAAGTCTACATTAAAGGGCGCAAAGTGATTGAATACACGTCTATTATGAATTTAGATTATTATTATTATTATTACAGTCAGTGTAACACGAGAAGCTCGGCGCATGTGTAAACGTCAATTTTTCTAGGCTTATTGTGTCTATTATACAAGCTAAACGTATCGAAGCGGACGAGCATATAGTATTTTATTTGTGACAGAACGCTGTAGGACGTTCCTTAGGGATATCTAGTCCCGCCCACGCCGTCACGCTGGTCTCACACGAGCCCCCACCCCCTTTACAATAATAAAAACAGGGATATGTTAATGAGTAGTAGTTTATATCAGTATGACACTATTCCAATAAACGCGAACACAAAATTCTATTGGAATTAAATAAAAATATTTTTTTCTAAAAAATAAAATAAGCAAAGGGCTTTAGATATTAAGTAATATTGATTCTCAAAAAATGATATCCTCCTACAGAAAAGGTTAGTAACATTTTTGTGTAATATCGTTTATTCAGTGTGTTTTTTTTAATAACAAAAATATAAAATCATAGCGAGTTATAGTGGTTTTATTTTAAAGCTCAATAATATTCGTATATAATTTATTCGTATGCCATGAAAATGAATAAACGAAAGTATCGATTTAATTTTAAATTAAATATCAAGAAAAAATTAAACCTAATATTTAATTAAACATTTTTAGAAAAAATAATTCCTGAACTCGTTAATTTAACTTTATTTTAATAACCGTTAAAGTCTCTACCGAAATAATTTCATTGAATTTAATAAAAAGTAGTTAACTTTTGATGTCTTATTATCATAAAAGATATTCTTATGATAGAGCAAATAATATCTGTTTTAAAAAATGAAAAAGTTAATAAAAAGAAACTCTTTTTTTTCTTCTATATCACTGTTAAAATAACATCAACAATTAGATTATAATACTTAGTACAAAAAATTGTAGAATTAAATCTACTTAGTGTTTGAATCAATTATTACTTAAATTAAAAGAGACTGAGCAAATTTAGTGTCGATGATTAATATATAACGTTAACTAAGTTTTTTTGATATGATTAAATGTGTACCTGTTAATTTTATTAGTTAAAATAAACGCGATTTAATTATTTGTTTTGGTTAAAATCACTAAGAAAATATTCTTTTTTACTAATATTTAACTCAGTAATTTAATGTTGTAGGGAAAGAAGATTCTTCCAGCGATATTTACCATTCTCCTGGTTCATCGTTTCCAAGTCAGTCGAATATGCTTTTGTTTCAGACACAGGTAAGTCATCTAAACTATTTTTAACACTTTTAGTAAAATTACTTTAATATCAATTACCTGTACAATCAGTATCGTGAAATAAAATGTATACACTTTATGTTTTGCATCGCCATATACGCGACAGACAATTTACAAATTATTACATTATACTCCCACGTGATAAATTAATATTTGATAAATACATTGGAGTTTTTAATTATTTTTTTATCGCGTGATCATACAAACGTAAAAAAGCAAAAACGTTTTTTTATTTTTCTAAAAATTCGGCTAAGTTAAAATTTGTAATTTTAAAATCTCATTTCTAAACATCAAATATTTAATCATCTTTTTTGTTTATCAAACATTTTTTGTAAATATGGCAAATTGGAATTTTATGAAGTAAAATTTATATATATTATTAGAAACACAATCTGTACATAAAATTTTCCATAAGTTGGAACATTAATAGCGTTAAAGGAAGTCACCCATTGGTAATACCACTAAAAAAATGTAAAAAAATTAAAATTCTATTCAATCTCATTCAAATTCTATTAAATATAATATCTATTTTATATTTAAAAAACTGTAAGAATTTAAGTAAAGAGAAGTCACTTGGCAATATTAAAAACTGATATAATATTGTATTATATTTTGTAATATATTAAAACGTTAAACGAAAAAAATGTTAAATCTGACCGCTGATTAAAAATCAAACATTGATAAATTTTAATGTTTGTAGTAATATTGATGATAAGAAATAAAGTATCTCATTTCTGTTTCAATATTCAATTCCTAATATGACGTATTAACATTTCTTAAAGACTTGAAGTCTATTAATGTTTTTAACGAAAAAAAAAACAAATATTACCTTATTCATCAAATATTTCATAGAAATATTATTTATTATTTTTATTTTTACAAAACTAGGTTTACGCTAGTAAAAATTAATTGAAACATTTAGTGATATTAACATATTATATACAATATAATAAGTTATACTCTATTAGTTTAACTGTATAAGATTTTAACTAATGCATTAAATGTTTTTAAACTTGTGGTAAAAAAATTCACTAGTTTAGCTTGTGTACTTTCTAAACACAATAAAAATAAAGTAAAATTCAAGGCAAACGGGCAGTAGGGTGTAAAATATTCGTCTTGTATTATAACAATATGATATTTTATTAAATTATATCATCATTAAGTAATATATATAAGACAGTTTTTTATCATATTCCAAAATTCACTTGTTAAAATTGTTTGAACACATCGATGAAATAAATAGTCATTACTATAGGTTAGGTAAATCGTACAATTTTCAAATCTTATAAATAAAGAGATATTATCGCATAATTATCAAAAACTCAAAAAAAAAATAGTTGAATATTTATTAACACATCGAACAAGTACCAACAATACTATAAGGCGTAGTAATTAAGGATATTTCATACTTAACATCCTACGAAACTGTGCCAAATTGTTTATTAATGTTAAAGTTACTTGCCTATAGAAAAAAACATACCAAGCAAATTTAATATTTAGCTCGAAAATATTTTATTAGTCGATAACAAATACTGAGCTTGTCTTGAAGTTTGGACAAACCGGTGGTTGGCAAACTGCAAATGTATTGCAAAGGCTTAGTATAATAACAGTCGCAAACAATACGTTAGTATTAGGTAAAAAAAAAAAAATCAAATTAATAGTCCTTTGTCGGTGAACGAGGGAGGTGTAGTCGGGTTGGTTACGGGCGAACTATTTCCCGAGTCGCTGACATTTATGAACAAAATGCTTCCCAAGACGGTTCTTGCGGACATACCCACTGATTGTACGGTAGAGTACATAACTTCATGCACCAAATCACACAGCTATTATGTACATTTGCTTTAAAAAACACGCCCTCGACCCTTGTTCGTCCACCTACTTTCTCGTTACTGTTATTATTATTATTAATGCAGACAATATACGCAAGCATGTGTATTTATATCTGCCGTCAATTTACCATTTCATATAAGACCGGGTGAAAGTGTGCGTGAATTTATTCATTACAATTATATGTGTATATGTTTTGACGGACAAAAGGGAAATACTTTGCGAATGTCCAAAAAAATTATTGCCCTACAAGCGTGACTCTATTTGTACAATATTGATTATAAAATAACTCAATTAGAAGTATATAAATAATAGAGCTTAGATTTATATGCATTTATAAATTTTGTAAAATTATACACCGTCGGCCAAGGCAACATGTTATTAATTGGCTTTAAAACTTAGTAATATGTTATTATACCACTGGGAAAGATAAGGAGGTTTATCTCCCTTAAAACGAAAAATATTTCTATGTTAAAAATTACACCTACGACATATTGTACAAACATGGCTACCTTCAAAGTTACTTAAACAAAATGTATAAATGCGCATGATTTAGCGCCCTAATAATTAACCAATACATACAAAATTTAATTATATTAATATGCTCTATTGAGAAATAATTTAAAAAAAAATTTTTTTCATATTATGAGGGAAACTCGTGTAGAATATTTCTCAAAAAAATTATTTCTGTATTGCAATACACAAGTATTAATTATTATTTATCGTGATATAGTATTTTTAAAACCATTTTTTACCTCTTTAAATATCATAAAATCAGGGCCGTCATTGCAACTTTCTTTTTTTTTTTAATGCGTAGAAATGTTATAGATGTCAATAAGAGGTAGGAAGGATATAATGCTGGGAGTGGGGGGAATCACTCAAAACACTAGCGGTTCCAAAAGCGATGGCACAGAAATTTAGGTACAAAAATGTGTGAAATTGATTTAAATTGCAATTCAAGTGATTTTACCATTTATATCATCACTTGATAAAAATTTGTTTTTAATTATTAAAATTTTAATATAATTATTGACTGTCGTTCACAGTACCATCATAAATAGGTTTTGAAATTTAACTAGGAACTCAATGTATACTGGTTTATTACGTTTAATTCATAATTTTACCAAATAATCTCAAGGATGTGATTGCCTCAACGAATTGAAACATGAATACGAATCAATTATTATGATTATTTTTGCAATTTTTTGCTTAAAATTTCACAATGGTTAAACAATTGTAGTCGATCAAGGCAAAAAACAAACAACAATTTTTCTTTTACTAAAATAACAGATAAAGTTGTTCACCTAGTTAAATTTTTTTTTAACTAATAGTTGTTATAACTTAAAAGTAATATACATTTTTTATATGTTCACTAGTCAATGCCATCAAAACCGATACTTAATTATTATCACGTGTATGTTAATATAGAATGTATATTCTAAATTTGTTTTAAACATATGGGTAAACAAAACTGGTTGGAAGTATAATATTAACTTTAAGTTTATGAATGATGCAAAAGCTTTCTTAAATAAATTGTCTCGTTGATCTCTAAGTGTTTTTTTCGTAATAGCAATTTACTATAAATGAGTATAAATGAGTTAACCGGTAGCGACGAAAAAATGATAAGTGAGTTTGAAACTGCTAAAAATATCATTTTTAGGGGGCTACATTTCCATGCTGCATTTTTCTTCCATATAATTAATCATTCTATTACATGTAAAAATTATAAAACAGTACTTATAAATGATTTTATCTGACGTTATAACGTTTAAATGACTAAAATGTCGGTCATTCAAACATCTTTCCTTAAGTAGTTATAAGCTAAATTACTTAAAAAAATCATTAAATATAATGTAGATAAATGTGAAATTATACATTATTTTTGAATAAAAACATATGTTACTCATTGGATATTTTTAACATAACATATTACACGCTATAATATAATTATCTATATAATTGTACTTAATAATTTTGCCATAAATATTATACAGATTTACTTTCATGCAAAAAACAATATAATTTTAATGGAAGGGTGCTTGTATTAAACATCAAATTTAGCATAAGTTCCTTCCTTGACTAAACGTTGACCTTTTGAAAAAACAAATATAATATAATAGTGAAGCTTTAGAGGGAGTTGACAGGGGAATTTACCGTAGTAAAAATGATTATAAGATTAAAATTTTACTAAAGAAAACATATATATTCGTGTAGATATATTTTTTTTATGTAATGATTTTTTACGGTATCAGTACCAGAAACTTAATGTTTGAGATACAAAAATAAAAACCAATTGTACAGTCGAAACCCAGCATAGTTGTCTTAAAGATAGATTGATATCTGACAGTGATTTATATTACTATTATAAAACACTTTTTAGTTCGATTATATATAAAGACATATAAAATATAAAGAAGACATAAAAAAAATTTTTTTTAAATATTAGCAAACATTTTGACTAATATTTATAAAATAAAAATCGACACGATGTTTTCATTTTTTTAATCATAAAGTAAATTTTAAAAGCTTTACTTTGATATTGGTTTCTATTTATCAGAAGTCCCCAAACATTTTCAAATATTGAAAACATAAAAAAATTTGATTGCGTGAGTAGTCTTGTTCTAACTCTTCCTGTGCTCAGATTTAAAAATAGATTTATAAAAAAAGTATACAATTATTTTATTGTCTTTTGTATTATCGAAATTTTTTTTTTATTATTTGTGTACTTTTTAAAAGGTTATAGCAATTTTAAAAAACAAATACTTTCTCAGCTTCGTATTAAAGCAAAAAAAATCTGAATAGGCTTTTTTTATGGTAAGGTAATTTTGAGAAAAATTTTAATAGATTTATTTAATTTTTGAAGCTTATAGATACAACTAAGATAAATTTGAATTGTTTTGATGTATCATCAAAATTGTTTTGAGGCATCAAAATCAGCCTAGTAAGACCTTAGTGTTTTTATAGAAACAATAAAAAAAAAAATAGTAAAATCAACCTTCTCACCTTTGTATCAAGGTTAAAATACATAAATGACTCTTATAGAAATTTCGAAATAAATTTATGAGAATTGAAATTCAGAAAATATCTTAGAGATTAAAAACAAAGTTTTTACAAAAAATATTCTACTAATTTATCTCAAATTGTAAAAAATTTATATAAAATCATTTTTTTTTCTTACATCCATATTGTTGGTTGAATGTTAAGAAGTGAAAATTAAATGTACTGGTTTCTTCTTGTCTTCTGCATTGCCGCCTGCAAGTGTAAAGATTACATTAAGGACCACAGCGGTCGGTGATATTTAAGTATATATTTTATACTGTAAAATCCAAATTAATTTATATTTTTATTAATAGAAATCAAAGTTATAATATTGTAAAAGAAATTAAGAGGAAAATAATTAACAATACATTGACACTCAATATTTTTTGGTGTTTTAACGTTACAAGAACTATTTAAAACAAACCACGCTTTATGAAGTGTTACCTAAATTTTTTAAAGAAAAAACCCGTTATTATGATAATTACAGATTGTATTTCATTAAATTGAAGATTCGACGAACAAATTTACCATTAAAATAAAATAAAATTAGTGAATCGCTAGCAGTTCTTAGTAATTTGTTACGTTAGGTGAATATTTTTCATTTTCAAAACTAGTTCCAGACTGGTTTAAATATTTAATCTGTACTTAATTGATTTAGATTACAGTACTCGCAGACGACAATGATTAACGGATTTTGTACTAAGAACACTCGCGTACGTAATAGATCTACAGAAATTAAAATATAATAATTATTATTTAAAAAATAAAAATCAATACACGTTGATAAAGTAAATAAAGGCCTGGCTTCGGTTTTTTCCATTGATATGTCTAACACATTTTACATATAGTCGTGACCATATCAAAAAAAAGAAATAAATTGATATTGATTGCTAAAAAATAAAAATATTTTTCATTGAAATAAAGTACAGTTGTTTATCAATCTTTAAAGAGTTCTTAAGGCCTCTTTTTCAAGTCATGCCCACAGATAAATTGTTATTTGATCTGTATGTTTTAAATTAATTAATTTAAGTGATTTATTGCTTGATGTTTACAGAGCACATTCACTCCTAACACATTTGCAGAGTTACTCACCGGTGCTTACTCAGAGCTGCCATTAAACGAAGAGTTGGACACGTTGACTGACGTTCACGGAGTACTGTCGGACGTTTCTGGCACTGAAGATTCTCATTCGCATAATGCAGACACTGCCGCTGGTCTTTTGCCTAGTTTTCAAGAGACTTACGCCGGGTCTGGTGTAGGGTTCAAAATGGAAGACGAATATGCAAACATGCCGCAATCGGTCGCGGCTTCAGTTTACCCATCGCCGATGCATCAGCAACACCATCACCATCACAACAACCACCATCATCATCAACCACACCAACTCCCCCACCATCACCTTCAACATCAGCAACAACAACTTCATCACCACCATCATCACCTACATGGAGTACCACCTCCTCCTCCGCCACCACCGCCATTAGTTCATTTCGACTATCCGTATCAACATTATTCGGATAGTTCGGTAAATCACCAAACCACGGACTCCTCGGGTTCTGATCATGGTTTGGGTTTCGAACTTAATATGGTGACGGAACATGTTACACTTCACCCGCCACAGCAACAGCAGCAGCCGCCGCCGTCAATATCCCTGACCCATGACGTGTCAACGCGACCTAGAAGGTCATCTGTGCATATGCACAGGATGGATTCATCCGAGTAAATTACCCTTGCTAATTAAATATCACTTGACCGTGTTTCATACCTTAGAATGATAATAATTATCACTTCAAGGTATGAAGCACGATGATGATATGATTTATTCATATCATCATCGAACACGTAATACGATGTGTCAATAGACATAAGCTTTCTAATTCAGTAATTTAAAATTATTTAAAGGGAAAATGTCATAATCTTATGGCTCTTTTTGAGTCACTTTAATATTCAGCTATCAAGGACATTGGTAAAATGTTTGTCCTTCTCTCTTTGGCAGTTAAGAAAATATCGGTTGAAAATATAAAGGAAATGGTTTAAATCTTTCCTTTTATCTCTTTTCAATCGAGTCTTTCCGACTTGCAAAATAAGAAATAAAAAAAAAATTGTACCTAATCTCTGTCAATAATTCAATAACTATAAAATTTTTTTATTTTTTAATTTGTTATCCACTCTACAGAAATTTAATTACATATTTTCCCTAGAATCGTATAATATGATACCAATAATACTTTTTAGTATTGTATTTTTTCCATATTTATAGCGGGTAAATATTTAATGACCTTTAATTTTTTTTCGTAATTTTATAATTATTTAATAAAAAAAATCTCAAAAACAACGTGAAATCAATTTTACCCAGCTACCTCTAGACCGACAAATTTTTAAAGATTCTTTATTTACGATTAAATCTCCAATATGTGTTATAAATCATATAAGAGTAGGTCATTAGGTGGTTTATGAATTTGTAGTGTTCATGTACATTAGTATGAAATAAAATGAATTAAAAACTAACGGACTAAACCCGAATAATAAATTATTGTAGCTTCTGCTTTTTGCATTATATCAAGTATCTATTTATTCAAATTAATTCTGTCTGTTCAACGCAAAAAATTAACATTTTTTTATTTACCCGTCAATAAAAATAATTTTTGATTCATTTTTAATACTCGCAGAAGTTTATCGCCAAAAATGCGACATGGCATTAATTCGCTGTCTGTTGCTGCATCCAATGACTGTTCTCTGCAAGACGTTTGTTTGTCTAGGAACGTTACGGGGTCAGCACCCACATCGCCATCTCAATTATGTGCCGTGTGTGGTGACACAGCGGCGTGCCAACATTACGGTGTTCGCACGTGTGAAGGATGTAAAGGTTTGTATTAAATTTTTAATTCGTTTTACGGTGAACTGTTTCTGTCCATCATGAACTTTAGAAACAATTTCGAAGATAATTTCTATGTGTTTAGGATTTTTCAAGAGGACAGTCCAAAAAGGTTCCAAGTACGTTTGTCTAGCCGATAAAAATTGTCCCGTTGACAAGAGACGAAGAAATAGATGCCAATTCTGTCGGTTTCAGAAATGTTTACAAGTGGGCATGGTCAAAGAAGTCGTTCGCACCGATTCGTTAAAAGGCCGTCGGGGTAGATTGCCGTCAAAACCCAAGTCGCCTCACGGATCACCTCCAAGTCCACCCGTGTCTCTTATCACAGCTCTGGTGCGAGCACATGTCGATACTAATCCTGATTTTTCATCTTTAGACTATTCCCAAGTAATACATTTATACATTTATAGGTTATTTATTCAATAAGGGAAAAAGTTTCTATTATTTTCTTTATTCATAACAAATGATCTGTCTGTTTACTTATTGGAAAAATATTTGTTTACCTACATCGAATTTTCTAATGTATAAACATGTATTTTAGTATCACGAGCCCAAGCCATTTGAGCCTTTAACTACAGAAGCAGAAAAAATACAGCAATTTTTTGGGTTACTCACGACGTCCGTAGAAGTAATAAAGCATTTCGCCGATAAAGTACCTGGTTTCAAAACGTTATGTAAGGCAGACCAAGACTTACTTTTTCAATCGGCGTCCCTCGAATTATTTGTTCTCCGTCTAGCGTTCAGGTGTGTTTAAAGACCTTTGGTTTGATTAATTAAATTTTACTATGATAAAATCATTGTAAATTCCACAGGACAAAATATGCAGATACGAAATTGGTGTTTTGTAACGGAGTTGTTTTAGATAAACAACAGTGCTACAGAAGTTTTGGCGATTGGTTGCAAGCTATTTTAGATTTCAGTCAATCTTTACATTCATTGGAAATTGACATATCTTCATTTTCTTGTATATGTGCTCTTACTTTAATAACTGGTGAGTAAAAAAAGTGTTTCTTTCAGTCGAAATAATTTCAAATAACTGATAACAACTTTATAAGAATCATTTCAAATAATTTTAAATGTATATGTAACCTTATTCATTTTTAATTTCAGAGCGTCATGGACTTCGAGAGCCCAAAAAAGTCGAACAGATACAAATGAAAATAATTAACACCTTGCGGGAACACATCACCTACAGTATGTCTGATTCTCAACGCAAATCATACTATTTTTCGCGACTGTTGGCCAAACTTCCAGAACTTCGTTCTTTAAGCGTACAGGGCCTTCAAAGAATATTCTATTTAAAACTAGAGGATTTGGTACCAGCACCGCCTTTAATTGAAAACATGTTCATAGCTAGCTTACCATTTTGAGACATTAAAACCTTAACGTATTTCTCTATATGTTAAAACATATCAACGCGCGTTGAAAATACTTAAATCGCGAGAAATTTATTTACTATATATTATATTAAATTATAGAGTCACAATATAATGTCTTTATAATATCTTTGTACTTAGTTATACAGCTTTGTTTTATTTTTTATTGATGTGGTCACTCGCACTTATTTTTAGTCTTTAATTTTTGCTTGTAGATTGTTAAAATGATTCGAAATGATTATATTGTTATAAATATTACTGTTATTTTTATTTATTTTATTTTTTGAGCTTTTGTAACACAGAATCTTATTGTTTTATTATTTATTCTTATAACTATTTATACTTCTTTCAATTGATAACATGTATTATATTATCATGTAAATTGTAATTATGATCTGATCTACATTTAGATAGCCTATTTCTTTAATTTTTAATTTATACACTTAACATTTTTTTAATCATAATCGTTAATTTTATCAATTAAATATTATAATATGTCTAATGTTATAATATTTGCATTGAGGTTTTCAAGTGTTCATAAATAAACATGTACTTATTTATTTTAGATGCATATTTAACAATTTACAACAGTGGCGCAACCAGATAATAATTTTGCGAGAAAGAAGTGTTATTATCTTTTTATTTGGTCACCAAAAATTTTTTAATCTGCATCGCGATTTAGAAAATGTTAATTGAGCAGAAAAAAAAGATAACCTCGATTAAAAATTCAAAAATTGTAAATAATTTCCGGGGGGGGGGTTGCAATCCCATACCCCTAAGTTGCGCCACTGATTCACAAACATCTTAATGCATAACATTACATGTATAATTATCTATGTTGGATATTAACTGTCGTCAATGTAAAGCACAAACAAATTTACACATACAACTCTCTAATAAATATAATGTTCCCATCATAAAATTATGAGCAAATAATAACAAAAATAAGCAAACATTTCGACTTAACACAAAATATAACTACGGTACTGACCTATATAGTCTATACATAGTGACAAAAATAACAAGGGGATTTTCTCCATTAATCGATGTAACAAAAATTACATCTATAAGAAAATTCAATTAACTTATACATATTAACTTCAATTGTCTTAAATCATGAATTCAGCAGTTCGGTTAAAAACAAATAAAAAATAAAACGGTAGCAAAGTGTGGACGTGGCATAGTTGGGACAAGTCTAGATGATATATGACAGTGATTTTAATAACTATCTTAAGAAACGCTTAAATGCAAATCTGTAGATAGTATTTAATTCTAAGAAATTGATGGATTATACTAAAAGCAGAAAGAACTCTTATTTCATTATTCATATCCTGATGACAAGTTTTATGATTTATAATTGTTATAAATGAATAAATATTTACTATAGCAATTAAATATAGTATCAAATTGATATATAATAATTTAGTATTGCAATTTTTACGGAGAAATTATAAATTAGTTATTACTATTATGGCAACGCGTATAAAATTTAAAGGGCTCGATACAAAACTTAAAAAAAAATTGTTTGCTAAATTAAAGTATATTACATAAGCATTAATTTAAGATATACATAAAAGTGTCAGTAATTCCGGAATACTTTTAAAAGTTAATTTTTTATGTAAAAATTATATGACAAATATGAAACCCCCCTGTGTGCAGGTAATGGGTCAGATTTTTAAAAATAATTATTCAGATTTGTTCATTTCTCAAAAAATTATAACAGTTTTAAGACAAAAAAGTTTAAATTGTCAAAATTTACTGATTTTAAAAATCATAATTTATTTGGGGGATTTCTCCATTTACAGGAAACGAGAGAATTTTTTTAATTTTTAAGCATAATGTTTTCGACTAAAACACATGTCTCTTATTCATTAAATTAGCACTTTTAGATCTAATTCTTCTTTAATGGATTAAAATCATTAGAGTAACATATTTCTGGTTTAAAGATTAAAGAATTAAAATATTGTATCTTAATTTTGTTTTATTATTTCTTAGGACTCCTAAGAAATAATAAAACAACTATAAACAATGAAGTTAAATTATTTTAATCAAAATGATTAAAATATGAGGTAGGACGTTCCAATAATATTATTATACCAAAAAAGTAAACATTATCATTTGAATGTAACATTGTAACAATGTAACTTTAAAATAAAACAACGTTATTAAAATATTATGAAATAATGTGAAAATTGTTATAAGAATAAAAAAAATTATCTACTCATTTAAAAGTAATATTCTATGAATATTTATATTTTATTTATTATTTTCTTTAATTAATATAATAGAAATCTAAAATTACTGTCCGAGTATATCAATAATGCCGACAGCGTATTTATGATAATAAAATTGATAAATGATAACATTATCAAAATTTACTATTTGTTTACAAGAAGCTGTATATTTTTCTTTGATCTTCAATTCAATTTTAAAATAATAAAAATTTTAAAAATACAGAATTCTTTAAATACATTTTATATTATTTATTACTCGAGAATTTATCCGAAGTCAAAGTATTAAAATGGATCCAGCTTTATTAAGAGAAAGGGAGATATTTAAGTTGAAAGCTTCNTATTAAAATGGATCCAGCTTTATTAAGAGAAAGGGAGATATTTAAGTTGAAAGCTTCAGCTATACCCGTGTAAGTATATATTAAATGATGTTTACCTATGAATTTACTTTTATTTAATCTAATTATCATATATTTTAAGTGTTGAAAAAAGACAGAAAGATGATAGTAGTAAAGATGAATTTAAAAAAAAATCAAAACCATTGCCTCCTATGCCTAGACCTCCATCACCACCAAATACATCTAACTCCGTAAAGTAATTTTTTTTGTATTTTATTTATTATTTAAGAATTTATGATCTACGTTTTAACATTTTTCTATCTTCCTATTAGTTATAAATCATTTGGACAGAGTTCTCAATACAAATTTGGTGTACTCACTAAAATTGTCAAATATATCAAAGCAAGTCATCAAAATGGTGATGATCACCCATTAACTTTAGATGAACTTTTAGATGAAACTAATCAGTTAGATGTTGGTGCCAAAGTAAAAATAGTAAGTATAATTTATTTTTCTTCTAACCTAAAAAAAAAGTAATTGGTAAATCTATTAAAAAGTGGCTTGAAAGTGAAGCATTACCAAGTAATCCTAAAATTGAACGTACACAAGATGGAAAATATATGTTTAAACCACCATATAAACTAAAAGATAGAAAAGCGTTGTTGAAGTTACTAAAACAACAAGATTTAAAAGGTTTAGGTGGAATAATGTTAGATGATATTCAAGAATCTCTACCCAATTGTGAAAAAGCATTAAAGGTAGGTACCACATATATTCTACTTTTATATTTATCTTAGATATCATGTTTTAAATATTTTAATTTATTTGCTTCAAATATTGTTTTTTAATGTAGAGGTATGCAAGGTATGAGTTATGTTATTTTTATCATTACGAATCACTTTTCCACACTCTTCCTCTCACATAGGCATTACAAAAAAATAACCTATGAAATACATGTTCTAATGTTGTTGACAAGTTATATTCTTAGTTAGATCATTTTCTAATATGTAATTTTTTAAAATACAAATTTTAAAATGGTAACATACATATACACAAAAGAAATCTAGTGTTGAACAATAAATCTTATACATTAAATGTAAACTGAAATATCCTAATTAATATAAAATAACAAATTACTACAATTTGCTAGCCTCTAAAAATCATTACTATATTCTTTCGTGGATATCTGGTATTTTTATACCTCACTTCAATACTAAATTATTTAAAAAAATACTTTTTTGTTTTAAAAAAGCATTTGCAAAATGAAATACTTTATGTATCACGACCAGGAGATAAGAAAAAGGTAATATTTTACAATGATAAGTCTGCAACAATTGAAATAAATGAAGAATTTAAAAAAATGTGGAGAAGTGTTGCTGTAGAAAATATGGATGATGATAAAATTGAAGAACACTTAGAAAAACAGGTATGCTAATAATTATAATAATAATATATACTTAATTTTTTTTTAATTATTTGCTATGGTTATTTGATTTCATAATTAATTGTAGGGTATCAGTTCCATGCAAGATAATGGTATAAAAAAAATAAATCATATAAAACGAAAAAAACCAATCACAAAGAAAAGAATATATAAAAAACCAAGAGATAATGAACATTTGGCAAATGTTTTAGAAGACTATGATACCCTTTAAATTGTAAAAATAATAAATGTGTTCAAATTGTTATGTAAAATATGTAAATAATACTTTTTTGTAAAAAGATATTGAATAAATCATTTAATATGAACAATATGTACTTGTATTTTTACATTATATTTTGTAAATTAAAAAATTATTACTAATATCATAAAACCATATCTTCTACTAGTATAGTATACCTTTTTAATTTTCTTGTTTGTTTGTAAAATTGAATGGTTTTTTTTTAAATATTTGGTCCATGTTAAAAAAAAAAGAATTTGGATATTAGCTGAGTTCAAATAAATACTAAATATAGTTTATAAAAAAATTACACAATTTATAGTACAAAATAAATCATTTATTAAAATATTAAGGTTGGTTTCATATTGTATTTCATTTTATATACACATTCAGTATTTTAATCTAATCTTTCTTTCATTTTTTAGTGCTTTTTTTTGTTATCTTTTTCTTGTTTTCTGAAACATAATTAAGTGTACTTAATAAAAAAAATGTTATTACTGTTATTAAATATATAGAAATGAATGCTGAAGGGAGAAGAGGTAGAGGAAGACCAAAAAAGAGATGGATGGATGCTATTGAATGAGATTTGAGGACCGCTGATGTGAGCGTAGATGATGTGGGAGATCGTGTCAAGTTGAAGTTTAGGATAAAGGTGGCCGACCCCAAGTAGTTGGGATTAAGGAGATGAAGAAGAAGAAGAAGAACATTAGTAGAAAAAATCAGTGGGGGCAGATACCGCCTTGGTCAAAATACGAGGGGGTCAAATGTATCCTTATTACTAAAAATAAAATGAATTACTATTATTTGGGTTAAGTTAAAAAATATTTTTTAATAATTCCATTTTAAAAAAACGATAGAACAGTTGGTTTGCGTCACAGTATGGACGTGGCATAGTTGGGACAAGTATAGATGATATCTGTAAGTAATTTAAATCACTATCATAAAAAACACTTGGATGCAAATTTGTAAATTGTTTTAGATTTTTAAATTAATGTTAAATTTAAAACAATTGATGGATTATTCAAAACGCAGAATGAAATCTTATTTCCTTATTTATATCCTGATAGTAAGTTTTATGATGTATAAATGTAATATATAAATAAATATTTATTATAGCAATTAAATATAGTATGAAATTGATATTTAAGAATTTAATATTGTAATTTTTACGGAGAAATTATAAAAAATGATTAAGTAAATATTAAATTTATGGCAAATATGTATAAAAGTTGAAGGACTTGTGATGCAATACTTTTCAAAAAAAAATTGTTACGTATAAATAAATTTATTTGTCTACAAGGAATTATCATCAGAGACCAAAATGTACTTTCTAAACCCATTTTTGGGCCTATTTAAAATCTGCAATTAAAGTTTCACATATGGACTATATAAGAACAAAATCCTTCTAATTAATATAACAAATATTTATGTTTGACAATTATGATACACATGAATAATCAATAAATATATTTTAATTAAATAAAATACGTAACAAGCAGAATATATAAAATGCAGTATATAAATATAAATAACTATTTAAACACCAAGAGTTGTATATAATTACTCAGTAAGACTTCTATTTAAACAATTTGTTACAATAAAAATAAAGTAAAACATTTTTAACGAAATTTTGAGTTTTCCTCATAAATTTTCTGTTCTAAAAAAAAAATTTTATTCCTCATAAAAATTTCTATTTAATGATATAAATTCTAAAATTGTGTTTAAAACGTTCAACATTTTTAAATTATAAACTTTCATAAAAATCAACTTTAAAGGAACAATAAAATAAGTTAAATATGTTATTTTGTATTGAAATTTTGCACGGATTATTTTTATCATAATAAAAATTAATAACTTGATAAATTTTTTTTTTTTTAATTAATTTTTTCATGTGTTTCTAATTAATAACAATTCCAAAAAAAGGGTGATTGCAAAAATCTAATTTATAAGTTGAAATCAGCATAAAAATTTAACTAAGAAAAGTATATATTGATCTATAATCATTAAAAATATTTTATTCTACTGATATGATTTTACCGTGTAATTTAGTATACGGGATAATTTTTTTTTTTTAACATATAGTACGTAACATATGCTTTAATTTAACATATATTTAAAAAACGCAGTATTACCGAAACATATTAAAAAGTCAAGTTCAAAATTTTTTCCTTTTTATACGTATTTTTCAAGTTTTTAACGCCCCCCGATATGGGGAAAATATCGTCCGATTTAAAAAAAAATTATGTCGGATGATAGAGGTATATATAAAATATTTAGAAACAAAAATTCGTGTAGATTTACAAAAAAATTATATCAAATGAGAGAGAAATCCCTAATGTTTCTATACAAAAAAAAATGATTTTGGTACGTTCATTTTTCAAAAAGTTATGACAGTATTAAGAGACAAAAACGTCAAAATTTACCGATTTTAAAAATTATATTTTTTTGGGGATTTCCTCCATTTATAGGAAATGTACGAAATTCTTTCAATTTTTAAAGGTAATATCTTCAACTAGATTCGATTTGTGATATTTTGACGTATCGTTGAAGAAATCATATCATTAAAGCTGAGAAAGTGTCGACAGACAAAAAAAAAACCCATCATGATAAAATTAATACCTTCTCAGCTTCGCATCGAAGCTAAAAAACGTTTCTTATGATTCCAGATTTTGGGAGTATCTCAAAATTATCTTTTAAACATTTTATTACTAAAATAAAAATAAGATTAAATTTGTTCTTTTTTTAATATACCATTTATATATATATATAAATTTTAATTTTTAATTTAATATAAGTTATTTTGCTAAAAAGTTTGATATTGAATGTCCCATAAATTGAACTGAACAGTTTTTAAAGTTAATGAAAAGGTAATTTTTTTTTTTATTTATTGTAATAAGTAAAAATAAAAATGTAATTAATCCATTAACTATAATTTATTATATTATCAATACTTACTAATAATATAATAAAAATAATATGTATTATTAAGAGTAAAATTTATAAATTACTGGATTTTTTTTATATGATCACTAAAATCTACCAAAAACTAGCTTATCCCCCTTTTTATAAATAGTTTAGTAACAATCAAGAAGACCGAGTTTTAGTCATTAAACTTTTGCCTCTCTCCCACGTAAAAAATAGTTCCGGCGCTAAAAAAATATTTTAAAAAAATAGAATGATATAACAAAAACCTAGTCAAGCTTATGTTGGTAACACACAATAAGGTCCAATATTTTCATCAAAATAACAGTGAAACTTAAAATATTAATTTTAAATCCTAATAATCTATTTTCCATGAAAATCAATACAAATTTTCTTTTTATAAATACTTCATGTATACCCCTTTTATTTCAAATACTTTATTAAAATTGGGGTTATTGCCTTTTATACAGAGGGACTGTTCAAAATTTGAAACATACAAGTAAAAGTAGAACTTTTTAAACTTAATTTATGAAAATTATCCGAAAATACTCCAAACTTCAAACATATGTTAAATTAAATTAATGCTTATGTTACGTACTATATGTAAACGGCTCCTAAAGTAAAACAAAATATTTTATTTAGTGTGAAAAATTCAGTTTTTTGTGTCATAATTTTATTTTTCAATTTTTTCTAGTAACTAATCGTATAGAAGGGTGAACTTATGTACCCCATTTAACCATTTACCCATTTTACAAAAAAAATTATAAAAATCATTTAAGGTTATGTTAAATATTTTACAACTTTTAATGTCTAGATTGACATTAAAATAGTAATAAGTATAATTAAAATAGTTTTAAAAAAAATTATTCTACGTATTAATAGCATATGATAAATTAAGGTAACGAAATATAGATTAATTTTTTTTAATAGCGACTCTTATCCACTCGATTTCTATTAATATAATAATTATGATAAGACAATCCTTTACGGTACTTTTTAGTTTTATATATTTCTCAATTTATCAAGTGTGATATTTTTCAGTTTATCTTTTATACCTTATAAGAGTGTCAAGTTAATTTTTTTAAATAGTAACATATATATTTAACTAGCTTATTAAATAAAAAATGACCGGTCGGTGACAACTTTTGACACATTATTTCGGTGGTTAAAACTATTTTAAAATATAGTAGTTGGAGGTGAAAAATTGGCTATTTTATTTTTGTCATAACACATATCTCTGTCAAGCTCTTCCCCCACTCTATATTTAAAAAAAACAGTGCACAGTTGGTTTGCGTCACAGTATGGACGTGACATAGTGGGACAAGTATAGATGATATCTGACAATGATTAAAATCGCTTTAAACGCTTTAATGCAAATCTGTAAATAGTGTTTAATTTTATGAAATTGGTGGATTAATCCAAAAGCAAAATTAACTCCTATTTTTTGTTCTACTTCAACTGCCATTTGCACATAGAAAATAGGTCGTCGGTACAATTTTTTTTTTTTTTTGAACTTCTAGTACATAAAATAAGCTTTATTTTAATATATATTTGAAAGATGCAGTATTCCCGGAACATTTTCAAAAGTTGATAAAGTTCTACTTTTTATAAAATTTTCAAAAATTTAAAAAAACTTTACTAAACTTTGAAGAGGCAAAATAATAAAACTAAGTAAAATTTATATTTCATGTAAGTTAGATTCATATAAAGTTTATATTTATTGGTGGACTCATTACTATAGCAAACCCTTATATGGTATTTATAAACAAACAAAAAAAAATAAAATTTGAACACAAAAATAGCATGTTTTTAACTACGACGGCCATTTGCATAAAGGAGATAGGTCGTCGGGATAATTTTTTTTTTAAATTTATAATACGTAACATAAACTTTAATTTGACATAGTTTTAAGGACGCACTATTTCCAGAACATTTTCAAAAGTTAAATTGAAAAAATTGAGTTTTGTAAAAAAGTTACTATTTTGAATCCTCTTTTGTGGGCAGGTGTCAAATTATCATAAAATTTATATCAAATGAATAGGATATGCGTAAGGTATCAATGTAAAAAAAAAATAATTTGATTTGTTCATTTTTCAATAAGTTATGACAATTTTTAGAAAAAAAGTCTAAATTTACAATTTAAAAAATCGTAATTTATTGGAAATTTCCACCATTCACGAGGAACGAAAAAAAAATTTGTAATTTTTAGGGTAATGTCTTCAACTAGATGTAATTTGTGATCTTTTGAAGTATCATTGAGAAAAAGTGATAACTTCTAAAATAATGGGTCTAAAGTTTTCTTATTATATAAAGTCATTTTTTTTTTAAATTATTTTTTATTTTATTAATTAAATGGGTTGACTTTAAAAGAATTAAATGACTAAACCGAGAATTAAATAATATTAATATTAATATTGAATTAAAATAATATTAAAAGAACCACCCTGTATCTTANAATATTAATATTGAATTAAAATAATATTAAAAGAACCACCCTGTATCTTATAATTTCTTCGTAAAAATTATTAAATATCAACTTCATGTTAAATGTAATTACTATAATAAGTATTTATTTAAGTATTGTATTTATAAATCATATAATTTGTAATTAGGATATTAATAAAAATATAAAATAGGAAATTCTTGTTGCTTTTGGAATAAATCAATAATTCCCCTTCTAACAGAAAAAAATTTGAATTGCATAAGTGGTTTTGTTTAAACCCTTCCTGTACTCATGTTTTCCATTAGATTGTAATGAATCGAAAAAGAAAGCTTAAATCTTATATATATATATATTCTACTAAAATTTCATAAAAATTCAACTTTTAATAAAAATTTATTGTATTTTTTTTTATTTTTAATATATTTTTTTAGATTTTTAAAATTAAGTGGTTTTTAAATTTTTGGCACTAATTAATTAAACTAGATTAAAACTGAGTTATTTTGACATATAAATCTCTAAAATCAGCCCTTGACAGCTTTGCATCGAAGTTAAAAACTATATTAATGGAGAAATTTAAGAATAGCATAAAATACTTTATTAATTTATCTATCAATTATCTTAAACAAATATGCCTAAGTGTAGGTTAATACATATATGGTATAACCATATAGAATAAAAATAAAAATCATGAAGAAAGAACAATTTTTTAATGTCATGGCTGATAAATAACATATACTATGAATAATCAAATTAAAAATATTTTATAATTACTTTTGGAACTATTATTAGAACTTGAACTTTCACTGCTGCTAGAGCTGCTACTACTACTAGAGCTACTGCTACTACTACTACTACTACTGCTAGAACTATCACTAGTTTCTGACAATGCATCAACAACTTTGGCAACGGCTGGCAGTTGTTTTGGTTGAGTTTTAAGAAAGTCTCTTAATTCATCACTAAAAAAAATTGTAATAATATAATTATACAAAAATTATTGATTGATGATAAATAATATCAATAAAAATTAAAAAATATACAATATAGGTATAAAATATATGAATATAGATCTTCAACTTAAATTAATAATTTAAAACATTCTACTTACGTCAGACCTCCTAAACCTATTGAAGTGAAAAAATTAATTGAGAATCTAGTATGCTTAGGATTATTCCTTGGAAAAATCCCCTCAAATGCTTGTTGCAATTCTCTAGATTAAAAATACAATTAAAAATTGCATAGTAAAAAAAATATAGTAATACTTACTTATCTTGTATTCTAGCATTAAGTTTATTAAGTCCCATATGCTCAGCTAATTCTTGAAATAATATTTTGATGTAAATTCTACTAGATGATGTTGTTTCATCTTCATTAAGATGTATTGTAGACAAAACAGACCAAGATATTGAATCAGTAAATAATAAATGTGCAAAAAATCGTGCCACATTACGCAATTTATTTGTTTCTAATCGATGTACAGTGGCATAACTATCAATAAAAATTTTTTCCAGTGGTTCAATAAACATATTATTGATTTGACAAAATCTCTGAAAATAAGTATTATAAAAAATGTAGTACATAAATCAAAATGGAATTAGTAATTGTAAAGGAATGAATATATGCAATATTGATTTTAAAAAACTTAAAACTTAAACTTGATTATTATTTCAATTTAGAGTTAATAATATTTATAATTAAACTACTACACTTTGCCCAAAGAGGATATTTCTTAACTGTTTATAAATTAAGAAATTTTAATAATCTACATGAATAAAAATAATTGTTTTAAATACTTGTGCCAAAAGTCCAAAAAATTTTTCATAAGTTCTTTGTTCACCACAACAATCCAAAAACATGTGACACATTTCCATCTCTTGCCCAGGCTTCAATTGCATTTTCATAAGTTTATGGGCACATTCTTCATAGTCCAATGATGAATGTATAGTCAAATATATAGTTTTTCTCAAAGCAATCATGTTGGTTTCAGTGTTATCAATAATAACTTTGTCATTTTTTTCTTTAAAACAATAAATTAATAAAATTACAATTTAAACACAAAGAATGTTAAAAATTTTAAGCCATTATAAAATTGTAACTTTACAGTTACCTAATAACTATTTAGGTAGGTCTCAGAAATTGTTTTTATGTTGACTTCACATAAAGATTTTAAAATTAATTGTTTAAAAAATAAATTTAATAGAGCCTTATTTTAATTAAATTAGGTTTTACCTATTATTAAAATTTTACATAATATAGAAACTACTTCGATAATATTTATTGTACTAAAATACATATTTTTAAATATTATTTCAATTATCCTTGATGAACTTTATAATACATATAATTTAAACCTCTATTATTAATCTAAATAAATTGACTCATTGAATATTTGTTTTAGAAAATTAAACAATATATTATATTTTCCATACCTTTATCTTCATCACCATCTTCATCATCACTTTCTTCATCGTTCTCTTCATCAGCATCAGAACCACTTTCATTCTCATCATCAGATCCTAATATTTCTGTTCTTAATGATTTATATCGCTCCTCATTAGCCTCATAATCTGGATCAAACTTGTAGACATCTAATAAAAAATAAGCACAAATTATAATTATAGTAGCTATTATATTAAACATATCAATCATTATATCAATATTCTAGCACACAAAAGAAGTAAATGGACATTTAAGATTTTTTTAATGAGCATCATTTAAAAAATTTTATTACCATAAAACTAAAGATAAATAAACTAAATACTAAAATATAATGATATTTCAAAAACCATTAGTAATTGTTGTACAAGAAAATCACATTCAGTTTTCTACATTTATTCTATGCCTAAATTCATTTTCATAAAAAATATCAATTAATTTTTTTATGCACTAGACCATTGATATTGTTGATGTCATACAAAAAGTGGTCAAGTGATTTCAATAAATTATACAAAAGGTAATATTGTATTTTTCAATTGTTAAATAAAATATAATTAAAATTCTTAGTCAAAAAAAGAATTTTTCAATCATAAATTCAAAAAAATAAATAATAAATAATACAATTTGCATTTGGCCAATTATTACATAACAGCAACATTATTTGTTAAAAGCTAGATTATTACTTAAAATATCTTGAGTGTCTTTAGCAGCATCTAATGTTAACAAATGAGTGTACTGATCTTCTTCAGGTACTAAATCAAGTTGCTCAATTATAGCTGGATGATCTTTGAACCCATCTTTTCGTATTTGAAACATTACTTCAATCATATATTGTACCTGTAGAGCATTTTTATCTTAACTCTAGTTAAGGTTATATCTTGATAGAATAATAATAAATACTTAAATAAAAAATTAACAATTAATTATTTTTAACTTGAATTTAATAAATTACATACTCTATCAGGTAATAAAATTATATATATATATTATGAGGCGTTATACAAGGGTGTATCCTTACACCCTTAATTTTCAACCTCTATTCTGAAAAAATATTCAATGAAGCTCTACACGTAATAGAGGAAGGCATATAACTAAATGGAGCTAGAATCAACAACATTAGGTATGTGGATGACACCATAATTCTAGCCGACAATAGTGCTGGACTGCAAACCTTAATGGACCACATAGCACAGCACAGTCATCAGTTTGGACTGATGACAATATAAATGTACACAAAAAAAAACAAATGGTCATTAGCAAGAACACTATAACTGGAGCTCACCTGTATGTCAATCAAACCAGAATAGAAAGAGTGGAACAATATTGCTACTTAGGCACCATGATAAATAAAAAATGGGACAACACTCAAGAAATAAAGTGTCGTATAGGTAAAGCGAGGACAACATTTATTAAAATAAGTGCTTTCTTTAAAAGTCATAACTTATCTCTTAAAACAAAAATAAGACATATAAGATGTTACGTATTCTCTGTTCTACTCTATGGTGTAGAATCCTGGATACTAAATGATACCATTACAAAAAAGATAGAAGCATTTGAGTCATGGCTATATAGAAGAATATTGAAAATACTGTGGACTGCCCGAATTACAAATGACGAAGTCCTTAGGAGAATAAAAAAGAACACTGAGCTAATTAACACCAGAAAGATAAGAAAGCTCCAATAGGTCACATAATGAGGAATGAAAGTAGATACACAATACTTCAAGCAATTTTGCAAGGGAAAATATATGGAAAAAGAGGCCCTGGCTGAAGAAGAAAATCATAGCTTCATAATCTAAAAGAGTGGTATGGAAAGAGCTCATCAGAGTTGTTTCACGTCGCAACCGACAGAGAGAGCATTGCTGGAATGGTCGCCAACATTCGAATTCGGATAGGCATCCTGAAGAAGACGAAGATATTTTTTTAAAAGTTGCTGAAAACAATTTATTTCATATTACTCATTATTATTACTATTTTATCACAACTAATATCTTGTTTTCAACATTATTGAATTTTTACAAAGATTCTCTAAAAATACTATACATAATAGCCAAAACTTTTATGTCTTAGAATTAAAAGTTTACAACTAAAAAAATGAAAAACTTGCTAAACTATTTAACTCTAAACTTGAATTAAAGTTTGTAAGTATTCTAAACACTATGCTAGATAATATACTGCATTTTTTTTACTAAGTATTACATTTATAAATATTTTATCACTGTATTTTATTATTTTATACAACTAAAATTTATTTATTAAAAATTTGAGTATTTGAGTGAATAGCCAATATCAATAAAAATTATAATATATTACACATAACTTACTCTTTTATCTAGTTTTCCATCATGTAATATATTACGTAACATATCAAAAATAGCACTTATGCCTTTTTTGCTGACTTGACTTAATTTTTGACCACATTCTTTCAAAAAAGCAACAGCTACTTCTATAGAATCTTCTGTAGGTGACTCAACAAATAATGTTAATAATTCCAATGCTAAAATTTCGTGGGCCTAATATATTAATTAATTTCAACAAATAAAATACAATTATAAGTGTTATACTTCATTTTTTTTATTAACAATTACAGTATATAGTACTAAATACTTACCACAGCTTGATTTATTAAATGAGCTATAAATGTAACAGAAGCAATGCAAGGCAACTTTTCATTCCTTCGAAATGATCTTTTAAATTGTATAATACATCTAGTCAAAAGTAATTCACCAATATTTGGAAACTGAAAATTATAAAAATACAGTGTAATAAAAAATAATTACTATAAACAAAACATTTGTATCAAAACTTTCATTAATAAGTATTAAAAATAAGTAGAGCATGCAGAAAAAATTTGATATAGTGAGATACTTGAACATTAATTTTAATTAGAAGTCTGTTTCATAGGGCATAGATTTATATGCATTTATAAATTTTGTTAAGTTATACACCATCAGCTAATACAAATTTTTATTAATTGACTTTACAACTTTGTAATAAATCGTTATCATGGTTATAGTATTAAAAATTATTAGGAAGTTTATCGCCTCCATTACTAAAAATATTTTTTTGCTACATTATAATACTATGACTAAGTCGCACAAACTTGGTATTCTACAATATGGCTTAAACAAAATTTATAAATACATATATAATTCTACGCACTATTAATTATCATAAATTAAACAACACAAGAAATATATATAACACAAAATGTTCTAAATAATCATTTGAATAAATAAATTACCTTTGTATTTATTATAGCAACCAGAGCAGCATATACATGAGTATAAGTTGTAGAAGCTAATTGTGCTTGCATGATAGATCTGCATAATAAACCACGACCACGTACAACATTCTCGCGTAATAAATCTCGTGTGACTTTACCAATATTATCCACATTTATTTTGTTTGTTAAACCATGGATTGATTTCTTTAATGCTTCCCAAGCTATTCTTTGGTACGCAGCACTAAAATTTGATTATGGTTAGTAAATATGTATAATTATATATTATTACACTATACTAAAATAGATAATATTTTTTTTTTTTTAGTCTGGAAACTAATGTGTTTATAATTTTCTGTAAATTTTGAATAATGTTGCATCATAATGTTAAGCTGATGACAAAAAATTTTGTCACTAAGTAAAAAATGAGAATAGTTTAATATGTGATATTAAAAATGAAAAACAAATATTTTCATTTTTATCTAAGCCAGTAAAATACTAAAAAATAATGGGGATAATATATAAATTAATTTTATTGGTTCCAATAACTTATACATAAAAAAACTTTATTATTTTTAATATAATTTCATATTATTAATTATACTTTTTAAACAGTATTGAGACCAAAAAACGTACTTAACTTAGGAGTCCTTAAAAATCTTTTTTTTCATAATGAAGAGCAAACAAGGCCCACTAAGGTTTTTCTAATAACTCTGAAACTAATTTGGGCATCTAACTACATTATATATTTAGTTTTATCAAAAAATTAAATTACTATCAAAGCTATTGTAATATTCTAAATAACATTACAATACATTAAATCATGATTGCAAAATAAGGTTAATCTTAAAAATTACATTATATCAAATAAACTGTAAAATGATATAGTTCAGATGTAAATGATCATGATGACTTCAATATTACAAGACAAAAAGATGATAAGATAAGATTTTACTATGTTTCAAATGTGTAAAAATTAGTTTTTTTATCAGTGTATTAAATGATAGAAAATTTAATTTAGATGCTTTAAAGTTTTATATTTATTTTATGCTAACATGAAAAATATCTACTAATGTGGTTAAAAGAGTAACTTGTAGCAAAATCTATTATCAGTTTGTTACTTATTCTCCATTACCAGTAAATTTTTATATGCAAAATTATATATTTTATATTACAATTTGAAATAAGTACCTTGACTTATCAGTAATACTTTCTTGCATCAACCTAAGTTTTGCTGGTGGAATATATGCACCTCCAGTTTTAGAAGTTAACAAGTCAACAGTTTTTTTTTGACTCTGAGGAATTATTTCTTTATTTTCATCCTTCAAAAAACAGATATTATAAAAATTTATTATAATATTTATAAACCTAGAGTTCAATATTAGTTACTTTTTTGCCATATTTATTCCAATAACTTTCACTATTTTCTCTTTGAACATCGGGAGTTTTTCTGGAATAGTATCTCTTCCCAATTTTTTCATCACTATTTTTAATCTCACCTTCGCTTAGATTTTCATCAACTATCTTACCGGAATAATATGATGCCCCAATTTTCTCTTTATTTTCATTGTTATCATTTTTTGATCTATTTTCTTTTTCATGACGATCTCTACTTCTATGTCTACGATGGTAACGATCTCTATCTCTAGTTGACACACCACCACCCGAATAATACGGATCGCCGATTTTTGCATCATCATATTTACTCCTATGATATCTATCACTAGATCTATCTCTTGAACGACGGTTTCCACTTTCTTTTTTCCTATACTTTTTAGGTTCATCTTCATCGTCACTCCTTCTTTCTTTTCTTTTCTCAATTTTAATTACTTTACTAGACATTCTAATTAATTTACTTTATTAAAGTGAAAATAACAGTTTGTTTACAAACGACTAACTTATCTCATGCAATTAACATAAATGCTGTAAAGCATACAGAAGTGTTTTCTTATCTATGTTCTAACTAATTGATATTATCATTAAAAAGATAAACGGACTCCGATAAAAAAGTAATAAAGCTTTGAGCTAAAAAATCACTCAGTGCAACCACTAAGAAGGAAAATATGTAAATTATTATAATTGTAACACAGAACAATGTTTAGTAATAATACTATGTTGATAATTATGGTATTGATGACCCTTAATATAATAACGTTTTTACTGAAATTATTAAGGGTCAGATTAAAAATTGTTTTTTCATTTAATGTTTTTATATTATAATATAATATTATTGTTTTACGTTATAAGTTGTATTACCCTTAACGAAATTTGTGCTATATATTTTATGACTATAACGTTATCCATAGTTTTAGTGCCCTGCAAATGATAAGTAGGTTTTGGTATTTGGGTTTTAGATACTATTTAATAAATATACTTTGTATAAAATTCTATACAAAATATGAATGTTATGTTTATATTTTATTATTGGTATAATTTTCATAGTATGATTTTATAATTTTATAATGTGAAAAATATTTTAATAATATTAGAAAGATCTAGTAAAACAATCCTTATGTGCATTATTCAATAGTATAGAAATTATTTAGATTTCATTTTTAATGTTGTTAGGTTACAAAATAATGCCTATCAAATACTTCATAATGTACATACTATGGGTCGATGGACAATTTCCAGTGTTTTAATTTTTCATATTTTCAAAGATTATTGAAAACTGTTGAAACTTAAAAAAAAAAAAATATTGAAAACATGATAAAACAATTACTTATGCTTCAGTGGCGTAATAACGAGAGTTCCATGGGACACAGGATCCCTATGAATATAAAATCATAGGAACGGGAGATAGTAGAAAGATGAATTTCCTTACTATTCTACATTCTAAAAGTTAACTAGATCCCCGTACAAAATTTCTAAATATTTCCAAGAGGGGTCAAAACTTTAAACATGCGTATTGAAACTAAGACATTTTCAATTTAATTTTTAAAAGTGTTCCAGAAATACTGACACTTTTATATATATCTTAAATTAAAGCTTATGTAATATACATTAAATTAAAAAAAAAAAATTTGACCTCTGGATTTGTCTTCATGGTAAAAATGACTACCGTATTCAAAAATTTGCTATTTTTGTGTTAAAATTCTGGGTTTTGTATTTTATTTCAATTTAAAATACCTGACAAGGGGAGTACACTGATTTTCATAAATATTTTATAAATCAAATTGATATAGCATAGAAAGTTAAACTTATTTTAATTTTTTTGCTTTTTTTAAGTCGAGAAAATTTGAAATTTGAATTAGCTTAAATTGACATTTTTTTCAATAAACGTTAGCGATATACGGTTGTCGAGTCGGTAAAACTTGTGTTTTGCGCGCTTGATATACAAGGTTTCAACCCACGAATGGCAAGGAATTTCTTACATTTTTTTCTTATTTTTTTTTATATTAGAATAAATTTTCAACTCCTTTGATTTTTATCTCATTTAGATTCAATAACTTCAATAAAGATCAAGGATCTCATCACTGTTGTCGTCCCTCGTGAGAAGAAATTTATTATTCATATTAAAATTATTTTACTATATTTTAGGTTTTAGCTTCGATGTAAAGCTGAGAAGGTATTTTTTTATTTTCTCTGCTCTAACTTGACCTACTTTTTTCAGCGATACGTCAAATGATTACAATTAGTTGAAGATATTACCCTCAAAAAAATTCTAATCTATCAATTAAACAGTTACTTGTCCATGTTCTCCATACAGACAATTAAAATCAATCATTTCTAATGTTTTCAAAGTATTTATTGACAAATCAAGTTTGATATGATAGGTTTCAACTACAAAAATAAATCATTTTACTTTGTAATTTCATAATATATTTACTCTATTTGAGTGTGCTACTACTAGATTATAATATTCCAAATTTTTTGGTAACATGTTGCAATATAAATCATTTCTAAAAAAAATGATTGTTAGTTTCTCCTGAATTAATAATGGATTTTTTCAATTATAATCAAATTTTATAATACGCTCAATTGAGTAAATTTTTTTAACAATTTTGTTTTGATTGATTCTTTTGGTCAAAGAAAATCATTAAAATTAATTATCTTCTGAATATTTCAATTGTAGAATCTTTTTAAACACCAAAAGTTACTAGGAAATAATTACTATTATTTCTATTTCAGTTATCTATTACAATAAAAATGCAAAAAAATATTGAGCTTTTTTGATAAATTACTATAAATAGTAATTATAAATTTTCCTGACTGCATAGTAATCTTAACGATACAATTTTCAAAATTGCAAATTGAGCTAAAAGTTATGGTAAAAATTTATATTGATTTGGTCATTTTTAAAAAGTTATGGCAGTTTTAAGTAAAAAAAATTGAAAAAATGTCGAAAATTATCGATTTTTAAATTTGTAATTTTTTAGATTTCCCCATTTACGGGGAACGAGTGAATTTTTTTCAATTTTTAAGGGTAATGTGTTCAACTAGATACGATTTGTGATTTTTTAACGTATTATTGAAAGAAATCGATTTAGTGAGAGCTGACAAAAAGTGGTGAAAAAAAAAAAAAAAAACACAGTAAAATTAATACCTTTTTAGCTTCGCATTGAAGCTAAAATAATTAACATCTATTAAGTACTACATTTTTTTGTGAACCTGTTCAATTTTAAAATGTTGTTTACGCCCCTTTGTCAATTAAAACATTATTCTTATTAGTTAGACATACCAAATTAGCATATTTAGTATAATAATTGATGGTTTAAGTTGTTAATTTAGTTTTTCACAAAATTGTTTTCAAACGAATGCATATGACGTATCGTTATGCAAGTTGTATTTTACATTATGTAGAAAATGAAAAGTTAGTTATATTATATTAAGTCTAGACTTATTTTATTATATTTGAATAGGCTTAAAGTATAAATGGAAAAATATAACAAGTCCAGGACTTATTTTTTGACAAAAACATTATTGTCAGTTTTGAAAGTATCTATACTTATACATCCTTAAAAACCTTATACATCCACATTAAAATAAATAACATATGTCACTCATAAGCCCCTAAATAAAAAGAACCTTTAAATATGTATACAAATACATAGTAAACATGTAAATAAACAAAAAAGTAATGAATAAAAATTATTTACTTATAATAATAAAAATCTTCACACACAAAATACAAGTAAAAAAAAATTATAGTTAACAATATTTCATTTTCAGTACTATTTATATAAAGTAAGTAAACTAGTAAAATCACTAGTAATATTTTTGTAAGTATTTAAACAAATTTTACACCATTTCTTTATTTATTTAGCTTCCTAGAACCTTTGGGTAAAAATTTTGACATTTGAGATCTACATACATATGTTGCACATTTTTCTATTTCTTGATCATTTTTACTATAATATTGGTTAAAATTAATACGATTGGCTAATGACTGTAGTGCTTCTTCATTATCAGTAGATATTTTTATAAGATTTTTTAAAAATTGTATCAAATCAGTCTAAAAATTAATTTAGTAAAGAAAAAAATTAACTTTTATTATTTTGTTAAAAATAAAATAATTACATATAATACCTTATAAGAATTACTTATGTCTTTTATGATAGTTTCATAATTATTAACTTCATAGTTGAATATTTCTTTTAATTCTATATCATTATTTTCTATTTCATTACATGTACCATGTACTTCAATATATTTATCAAGATTCTTTCTTCTTTGCATTTCATATTCAGATTGACTGTGAAATTTTTCCTGAATTCCACGAAGCTCAAGGACTGATTCAAACAGTTGGCGCATCTTTTTTGATAAATCCTAAAAGTTATCAAAGAGGTTATTTTCATAACTCTCAGCTTGTTTTTTTATTTCTCATAAAGTTTAACACATTTTATAAAAGAAAAAATGTTTATAATCCTAAATCAAAAAAAATTAAAAAAAATAAAATATATTATAAAACATATATTTAGTAGTTAGATTTTAGTAGGGCAACCTCTCTATCTCTTAAAGGAGGAGTTGAGTGGATAGTTGAAGGTATCCATGTAAATTAATAATTAAATAAAGTGCATCAATAACATAAAATATGTCTTATTTGAACATAAAAAATTCTACAAAAAATAAAAGAGAAAAAGATCTCTCTTTTTTTTTAATCATACATTGGAAATCAATGATTAATAAACCTTGCCAAAACCTACTTAAAATTATAAAAGTAAAAAAATTGTTATGCAATGTGAGATTCAATTAAAATTGGTAAATTTTGTAGCCTCACTTATCTTAACCCTACTCAAAAATCAATTGACAAAAAGAAGAAAAATTTCTTTTTTTGGTTTTTCTTGAAACATAATTTTTTTAGACATAAGATTATACAATTTTAGCAAGCAATTTTATACTTCTTTTTCTTCTTCCCCTAGTTAATAATAATTTAAAAGTAAATATCCTATAATCCATAGTAAAAGTTTCCCATTATATTTATTTATAAGTCATCAGGAATTATTATATATTTTTAAAATCAAGCTGAAAATTTTTGTCTTTATATTTGTTATAAGATTTTAGATGTTATTAACTACAGTTACTTTAATTAAAATTAAATAATTAAATTCAATTTCATATTCTATTTAAAAAAAGAAAAGTAATTTAAATACTCAATACATATAACTTACATGTGATTCCTCAGTTTGCATCGATCTTTTAAATATATTTTTAAGAAATTTATTATGAGCATCAATTACAGTTTCTAAAAGAGTTGCTTTGTTAATTGCTTGACGAAAGTGTTCCCATTCAGTTTCAATAACGTCAGACAACACATAGAATTGTATCTGTCTTATGCTATGAACCATTTCGGCTACTAAATTATTTGTCAATTTTAAAGCTGATCTAATTTCTAAAAATAAATTAGAATAAGTGAATCAATTATGATAATAATTGAAGACAAAATTTTACCAGGAACTATGTAATATGAGTTTTTCATTAGTAATTTCAATTCCCTCCACATTTGAGATAATACAAAGTCAATTCTTTTTAAACGCCACAAAAATACAAAAATTATTGAATACTTTCCACTACGACTAAATTCAAATATCTGAGAATAAAAATTCAAATATTTTTTCACAAGTTAAATTATATTTCAATTAAATATTTACTGTTTCTAAAGGACCATCGGTAGAATAATTCAATTGAAAAATATCCCAACCATAATCTTCCCCAGATGTTAGCAATAGTTTTACATCAAGAGTTTTTAATATTGTTGGGTCATCATGTTGGGCATTACTCATCCTAACTGCTGTATCTAAAAAGTTTTGGAACATGAGGGATCCATGAGAACCTGATGGCTTGTCTAAGTGAGGTCTAATTATTAAAATGATAATTTATTAAACAGTAAAGTGTATCCTAACTTATTAATAAATAAATTAAATCAATTTACTGAAGAATTTCTAATAGAGTTGTGACAAAGTCTCCCTGGCCTAGCAACATATATCGCCTTAGACCTTCAAAATGTAAAAACAATTTAAACTTTTCTTTTAAAATATCTAATACCATGGTAGATGATTCTGTACATGCCTTATTAATCATATCTGATATGATACTTCCTTGTTCTAACATAGGAAATAAATCTTTATCTATAAGACATAAAAATATTGTTGTATTTAGTTACATTAATCAATTTTTTTTTTTTAAGAACCTCCTGAATTCCTTAGTTCCTTTAATACTTCTCGTGATGGTGAAAGTTCAGGTTTACTACCACATATTGTGTGAAGAAAATTGATATAACGACCCGTACGAAAAATACTATTGATAATGTCTTTTGTAAAAAAGGCAGGAACCATTGATTCTCTTTTAAAAACATATTAAAAACTAATAAAATGTCAAATAAATACAAATTAAATATTAAATAATACTTATTATGATGTTAAATTCATGCAGATCATGATAGTTATCATAATAAATGTTGAAAATATTTATTGTTTGTTTTATTTATGATAAATTCAGATACAAAAAAAATGTTCTAATATAATTTATAAGTGAGTATGAATAACTGTAAAATATGCAAATGGATTATATGATTATATCAAGAAATACCCATTTATAGACATAAATAAACATTAATGTCTTATAAAAATAAAAAACTTATATTTTTATTATATAAAACAGTAATAATTTTATAACATCAGTATTTTCAATGGATTTACCTTATTTCATAACGATTATTCCACATATCAAAGTTTGTAATACCTGGACGTTGAGAAATAAAAAACTCATCATATGGATCAAGAAGTTCTCCATCTACCATCCAATGGCACATCATCATCATTAGTGGTCTTGTTGCCTAGAAATAAATAAATGTACTGATATATTTTAACTACATTAAACTTAGTATAAAAAATAATACAATTTTTATCATATTGATTGCCATTTGTCGGAGAAAAGGATTTGCACAGAATGCAAATGGCGTTATTACAGACACAAGTTCACCTCCATGTTTAGAATCTTCAATTAATTTCACAGTATGAGCTAAATCTTGTAACTGTCCTAACCATAATACTGACCAGCATAAAATATTTCCAAGGAAATAAGATTTAGAATTTTCACACGAATCTTCTAGCTATATTATAACATACAAAATCAGAATAATGAAAACAACAACAAAAATAATATATATATAACTTAAAACTATGAAAAGAATAAAAAAGATTGTTAAATATTTAAACCAACAAAAACTTGACACTATATTCAATCAAAAGACTTACATTTTTGAAACATCATTTAAATGTAATACAAAGTTAAAAGAATAAACAAATAATTTAATTAAAAAATTAATACCTCTTTTTGAAGTTCACTGATGCTATTATAATATATACAAAGTTCTGTATGTAAACAGCTAGCTACACCTGAAGCAACAGATCCATTTTTATTATTGCTATTTTTATCAATATATTCTTGGACAATTCTATGTAAATAGCCTAACTCCATAAGTCGATTACATTTGTCAGTTTGGTAAAAATCTAACTGTAAAAATAAATTTGGGTTAATTGTACAGGACAATAACTATTTTACTGTCTACAATATTTAGGTAAGTCTCTATTTAATTTCAACGCTGATTCCAAATATGTTTTCAGATTTTATCCATCACATTCCAGTTTATGAGATATTTATTAATTAATTAATAAGCATTGAATAAACAATTAAATCATTAGTAAAAAGCTAATATTTTTTTTATTTTATAATATAATTTTATGATAATAAAAACCAGTTGGGCAAAACGTAAGGCTTATTTGTCAAGTTTAACCATTTTATAGACATTAAAATTTGAGTTTTTGATTTTCAGAAAAAAAGTTAACTATACTATTTCATTTTTGAGTTAAGCACATAACTATGAAATTGCTATTAATAGATAGACAACTTTATAAGAATTTTTTAAATTTTAATTTCTATACTATACTATACTAAAATAGTTTATAAAAATATAATGTTCAGCTGTTTCATTAAAAAAAATACATATGCAACTTAAATTTAAAAGTCTATAAAAATGGTGAAATCTAATGGATAACCCCCAAATTTTGCATGACTTAATATTGACATCATCAAATTATTTAATAAATGTTTATTTACTAATAATTATCTCAAAAATTAGATGTGGTGCAAAAAATCTGAAGCCCGATTTGCAATTCCATTTTACATTCACCTAAATATTATAAGCAACAGAAAAATTTTTATTATTTGTTGTCCTGCTATTAATTAAAATATTTGCAATCACTAAATTTACCTTAGAATTAACTTCAAATTCCTTAGTTGTTCTGTTAAAAACAACATACGAGCTATCAACACCTTGAAAGCAATATAATAAACTACGAATTAAATCTTCGTCAGATACTTTTTCTGAAGCTAATAAACAAAATTAATTATTACTATAAATATCTTTTAATTTATTTAAAGAGTACTAACTTTTTACAAAATGTGACATTTTATTAAATTCTAGACTCAAAATGTTACCATAAGTACGCTAAAATTTATAAAAAAGGATATGAATTTTTAAAATTAAAATAAATCAACAATTAATTTAGCGCTATAGTCTCATCTAATATCTAAATTGTAAACTGAATTACTATCACTTATCAAAACTTATCAACTTATCAAACTTATTTTTACGCGCCATTTCAACGTTCTTTAAAAAGAATAGTGATAATGCACTGAAAAAAAACGTAAGATAAAACAAATTTACATTATTTTGTATTTCTTTGCTTCACTGCTTAATTTATTAATTCGTTCTTTATTAGCTAAAATTTCAAAAATGGAAAAAGATTTAGTCAACTTTAAAAAATGGTTCAATAAATTAGGCAAAGACATTGAGAAAGAAATAAGTGATGATATTTTAAAAAAGTATGAGTTAAAATCATTACTTATAAAGAATTTTTATTATTAAATTTTAACTATTGTTATGTTTTATACTTTTTAGCTTATTTATTTTTCATATCTTAGTATCTTTTCTTGATTATTATTTATTCAACTTAAATTTTAATTTATAATTTTAATTGGGCAGTAGAAACAAACTAGGATGTATGAATAAATTAATGATTTCTTGGATTGTTTTATTACAAAAAATATTTATAAATATATCCATGACAGTATAAAACTGAATACAAGGATATATCTGTAAATATTTTTGATAATACTAAGATGTAAAAATTATTTCTTAATGTTGAAAGTGAATTGACATTAAAAATTATCATTTATACATTGTTAATACTTATACTAGTTATTAATATTATTATTACTTAGAAAAATTTCATGGTTGATTTACTAATCAACTTATAATATTGTGTAGATTGATACCACCCCAACGACGGGATATGTGGCGAAACATTATTGAAAGAGTTTTACCTCAAGAAGAAGTAATTCTGATAAAAAAGTCTATTTTACTCCACAAACTTCAAAAAAGACAATCACCTTTAATTGTATTTTTAATTACTATTATAAAATTTATGTTAATTACTTATTAATAATACTTTTATGATTTACTTTTCAGGCTAAAGTTGAGACTGTAAACGATCTTAACAATGCTTTAAAGTATGAAGAATTAATGAATAAATATCTTAAAATTCAAAAAGAATTATCTGATACTAAATTAAACAATGATAAAGTAAAATCAGAGTTAAATGAAATATATGAGTATAAAAATTCATTGTTGAAAAACATCAAATTAAATCAAGATAAAATGTATTTAGTTAAACGAAGAATAGATTTTTATGAAACATCTTATGATGAGCTAAAAGAAATGTCTGATATTTGTAATCTTTTTTCTATGAATCCTGATGATACTTTAACTAAAACTGATTACGAAGTAATGAAGTTATTAATAGTTTTTATTTATGTTTTAATTTACATTTTTGCTCTTAGGATTCATTGATAGAATGCCTTACTCAGGTAGATGAAGCCAAACAGTTGGGGATCATGAATGAAAGTGTAGGAATAGGAAAAAATCTCTGTCAAGCCTTATATGCAACTATGAGAAATAAATCTCCTGCTATTATGATTAGTACAATTGAAGATAATTTTGTCAGTCACATTAACAAAAGTAATGAAGTAATTTTAGAAACAAATAAACTTAAAATTCAAGACAAGTAATATAATTAAGTAAGAAATTAATTATATATCATTTAAACTTAAATGTTTTTCTAGGAATGGCAATGAAAAACAATTTAATGAAATACTTATAAATCTTCAAAAAGAACAATTATACTTAAACTCTAAACTGTCAATAGTTATGAAAGAAAAAGAACGTAAAGTTAGACAACTTAAAGAAGCTATAATACTTGCAGAAACAGAAATTATCAATCAGTATAAAGTAATTAAAAAAAATATATATATATATATATATTTGTTAAATTAGTTTAATAGATTTATGAATAGTAACTTAATATTAATAATTAATGGTCAGTATTGATTTAGAAAATCAGCTAGTTAAGTAAAAAAATAACTCTTAATAATTAATTAATGTAAAGTGTAATTTAAAATTCTTAAGAGTTTAATACTTTGAAAAATCTAAGAACTTTTTTTTAATATATTTCAAAATTGAGAATAATTTTCAGTCATCTTTCTTGTCAAATACAAATTTTAAAACATTTAAGTTATCACACAAAAAATACCAATATTAAATTTAAGTTGTTATATGTATTCATCATGTTATATTGTCCACATGTAGTTATATGTAAACAATATCTTAAGTTGATTTAATGTTAAGTTCTAAGTTTAAGTATATTAATTTATCAATTTCTTATTTTCAGTTAAAAAATGTAACATCTACAGATGATGAGTTATTATCTTTTAAGAATAAACTTGAGTCAATAATAAAATCTCTTCTTGAATATAGTATGAATAGTATTAATTCAAAAAATGAATGTACAACTTTCTCTAATAATGATGAAACTTTTTGTAATTTGAATGAAATTATGAATTATGCTGACGAAAAAGAAAAGGAAATTGTAAGTTTTTAATAACACTATATTCTAGTGTTAGTTAATTTTTGTAATGATTTTTGAAAAACATATTATACTTATAATTTTTTAGGAGCAAAAAGTTGAACTAATTTGTGGAATGCTTGATGAGCTAAATTGTGAAAAAAGTAATTTTGGATCTAAAGAAGCTGCATCCATTTTAGAAAATATATATGAAAATTATTCAAATAAATTCAATAGCAATCATCAATTTAACAAGATAGTTGAAGCAATAAAAGATACATCAAAACATGATATAGATAATATTATTAACATGCATACTAGACTATTAAATAAGTATGTCACTTTTATTAGCTGATATATAACATTAATAAAATTAAGATAGGCATATGTTTAAAGAGTTTTACACAATATCTTATAACTTTATTTTTCTTTAGGCCCTGTCCTTTAACTTCTAAAAATATTGAAGATATGAAACAAATATCAAAACTGATAAAGATAGTTGTGGAGTCTGCTACTAAACTTGAAAAATTAAATAATACTGGTAAGTTATTTTTTTGATAAAACTTTTCCATTAGACATTTTGACAAACATTTATGTATTATTTTAAGTTATAATTTTATTAACAGATTATACAACATTTAAATTGTTAATTTTTGCAGACAATCTAATTAGAAATTTAATCTTATGTATTTTTTTAGATGAAATAATATTTATATTATTAATTTCTTAGACAGCTAAAAAAAGTATTGCATAAGCTATTTCTGTATACTTGTATTTTTTTAAGTATTAATTCTATGCACCTTTGCAAATTGTTTACTTTCATTATTAAAAATTTTTTTTATAAAAATAATTGAAACTTAAGTAGTTACTAATAGTCCTTTAGCTAATATTTTATTAGTTTTTGAATATTTTTTTAATGCTTAATATAGTAAAATAATAATTGTTTTTCTATATTTGTATTTATATTATAAAAAATATAACTATTATATTTATTATTTCAGTTTCTCAAAATGAATTCAAAGAAATTGAAAAAAATGAAAAAATGCATAGAATAGAGTTTCAATCATTGATATCTGAAGTAGAAAATACAATTTCTCTAGTGCATACCAATGTAGAAAACTGCAAATTAGTTTCTGATATGATATATTTCAAAAAATAATATTTTTAAAGCTCTCAAAATGCATGATTTATAAGTGACATTCTATAATTATTGATATATTAGAGTTCAGAGTTTCCCTTTCCTATTTAACATTACAAAAAAATTTATCAATATTTTTATTTTCTTCAGATAATTACTTCAAAACAGGCGCGTATTGAGTAATTTTGAAGTACCATTAAATGATTTCTATGACACCATATTTTAGCAAAAAAATATAATATTTTTGTAGAGATGCATTCCCAGTATGTTGGTGAAACAACACATACCAGCTGCTAAGTTAAAAATATTGTGATAATTGTAACAAGATTTTTGTATTCTAAATGTCTTATTTATAATTTTTTGTTTATTATAATGCGGCATAATATTTTGATTAAAATATATTAAATTATTTAATCCTGTAATTTATCTTAATTTCTTAATTTTAATTTTACATTTTTAAACGTGTTTAATAGAAATTTAGTAGTGATGTTGATTACCTTGTCCGTTTTCATCAATGGGACTGAAAATAAAAATTTATCTACTTATTTTGTTTAATTACATTTATAATTTTTATAATACTTTGTTTTTTTTAGATATAAAAAAAATTAATGATTGATTTATAACAAGATTTATATTCATGAAATATTTACAACTACAATTTTCATTTTACTTAAATATTTGAATTCAACACTAGTAAAGTTTTATAATTTCTGGTTTATTCATTTATTTTTATATTAAACACTAACTTTAAATATTAATGTTTCCAACAGCATTATTTGGTTTTTTTATTACTTTATGACTTTTTAAAATCATATTACACACAGGAAGACGAGCATCCACATCTTTTGATTCTACAATTCCCAACAATAATTAGGAATTTATTTTCCAAAATACAAAAAAATAAGTTACAAATTTTATCTTTTAATGGTTAGCTTTTTATAGATAGAGAAGTAATAAATTATTAAACCTCGAAAATAATTATTTATGATAACTTAGTAGTGGTTATAATTATTCTTAAGTAATCTAGTATTAAATGACCAAGATATGTTTAAAATAAGTTGCTCAACATAAGTTTGGATAAATAGTAAAGAAAAAAATATGACTGCACATCAAGATAAATTTGTCAGCTGGAAATAGTGCGAGTTTACTTGTTGTCTTATAGGTGTTATATTATTTCCATGCACTGACTTCTGTATAACAAATTAAAGTTATCTGTATAAAAGTAAGCTGAAGCTGAGAAATTCATTGTTTCTATGATGTCATTTTGTCGTATTACAATTAAAGTCTTACTGAAAGCGAGAATCCTTGTAAGACTTCATTTTCTTGTATAAAATTACTAGACAGAGTTTGAGACTTTAACTGCATTTAACTTTTACATTTATAGTGATACTTAACTAAAAATTGTGTTTATTTTTTTAATTGTTTTTTAGTTTACTCATCCAAACCACCGCTAAGAAGCTATGCTTCTATCATGTGTCAAAAATCAGATATATAAATTTCACTTAAAATATATTTTATTGAAAAAAATTAAGTAGAACAAAAGTGTATGTCATAACAAATTTTTACAATACTGCAATATTTAAATGCTATTTTTTAAAATTGTCTTGCATCAATAGTTAAATAACTGGTAAAAAGCTTTACACATTTCACTATAAAAATATAAGCTTTAAAATATGATAATGTTTAATAACTTAATATAAAAGTTATTTATTATGTTTAAATGATATTGAAAAATTATTTTCAATGTAACTAAATATAATAAAAGTATACTACACTACTTTTCGGTTATAATATACATAATGGAATGCAAATAACACAAAAAATTTGTTTTAAAAATTAATAGATAATAATAAAAATTATATAGGTGACGATATACAGATTTCTTTATAAATGCTAATTAAAAATTTTAAATGAATGCAAACTGAATAGGTGTATTAGTTTGCAAAATGAGAATTTAATTTTTTTATTACAAAATCTTCAAAATCAATTTTTTTATCAATTCTTATATGCTCAGCTCCATCTAATACTTTCAATACAATCCACTGAGGAACTTTGTCTTGGAGAAGATTTAAATGCGATTTCCAATTATCTAGTAAAAATAATAATACTACTTTTTATCACAATATCATTACTTAATAAATTACTAATAATTATATGATTAGTAAGTGAACAATAGGAGTAGAAGGAGTGAATAGTTAGTTAAACAATATACAATAATTTAAAAAAACAAAGTTATTACCTTCAGTCATAGCTTCTGGATAACTTTGTTTTAACTGGTCAATAACTTTTTTGTAAGGTAAGACATTTCTTTGTAATTGTACAAAGTATGTGCGTATTCTACGAGCGATGTCGGGTAATCTACTCATCATCCTGTCTTCATCCAATTGATCAACAGATCTTGTCATTAGTTCTTTAGCTTTTTCTGCTTGTTTTGCTTGAATCTAAATATATTCAGGTTAAATTAATATTTAGTTAATTAACTACACTTCATATGTGTTTAATAAAGCTAAAGCTTTGAGTAACAATTTATTCACAGTACTATCTTTTGTTTCTATCTAAATTACTATAACTGTTTGAAAAATATATATTTTAAAACAAAACATTTTTTTAAATGTATTAGGTTTACGTCAACCATTAAACATATATATTTAAATCTGACCATTTGCTTATCCATAGAAAGGGGTGAAAATAGTTACATTTTAATGAAAAATTAACTTTTTCAACTAAACTTTTGGGCAATTTCCAGAAAACATAGATGTCTAAATACAGAGTGATTAATTTATTGTTGACCACTAAATTTATCTTAAAAAAATGGTTTCGAATTATTTTTTTTATCTAGTTCTTGATTTACAAGTGATAATTTATGAGATAAAGCCTTATCCCTTATAAGGGTTCCAATTTTTTAAATGAAAACATGCATATTTTACTAATTCAAGTAATAGAAAATGATCAAACTAAAAATAACTAGTCCATAACAACTTTTGAAGAAGTATTATGGAAGTTATTAACATTTTAAAAAATGGATTGGAGGCAAGGTGTAGTTTTGTTATTTTTAACATTTTACATTACTCTGTCAAGCTACTCCTCTCATAAACGTATAAATATATTAATTTATAATCCCTGAAGAACTGGTTAAAAAGGTCAAAAGGGCCTTGTACAAATAAACAAATTGCACCACTCTTCACTGGCTTTAGACCTTGTAATAATCAAATGATCTATTTAAGTTCTATGTTATTCCAATTTTTAAAAACTATATCTTTATTTATAATAAATTATGTACTATATTCCTAAGCAAAAATGTTTAGGTTATATGTCCCTATATAATACATACCTTTAACAGTAATGATTTTGGAATGCCTTTAAGTGCATTATTTAAAGCATTTTTAGCGTCTTCTGTAACAATTTTCTTTTCCAGTACATTCTTTTTTTCTTCAACCATCGTAGATAATGTTCTATTTAATCTATTATTTTGAACAAAAAGCGTGTGCGATTTATCTAAAAAATATTGAAAGTCAATTATACAATGTTAAAATAAATATTGTTAAATTAATGAGTTTTTACCAAGTAAATCTTTAGCAGATGTAATTTTTGGTTTGCCCACTTCAATTTTAGGTAATGCTGATGGGACAATATCAACAACAGACTCCACATCAAATTCAGGATGCCACCTTGTAATTTTTTCCTTGTCAATTACAATGGGTGGAATTAATTTATTTAAATACTCCTAAAAGTAATTACAAAGTAAGTATACTTAAATCAACCCAAACTTTATAAAAGCAATTAAAATTTTCATCCTTACTCTATGATGCTCTTTGACAATATCAAGCAAAGAATTTGAGAATACTTTTTTCCTATGTGATGTTAATTCAATTAAGTCGACATTAGTTTCTTTTGTAGAGCCTAAAGTAATTTTGAATTTATAAATCTATTATTCAGTAACAAACAATAAATTAACTAAGAAAACACAAACCATAAGATGGAGCTATTACTAATTCAAAACTAGATTTGTCTTTAGGAGATTTAACTAACGAAAATGTATAAAAGTCTGGTGCAACAGTTTTTATTTGAGCCAAGTGTTCTTCAGTAAAATTCCTTTAAAATAGAATTTACATTAATAACAAAGAAAAAGAAAATGTTTAACATAAATGAAGAGTGAATGTGCCAAAAAAGTGAAAAATTGTTTTATTTCTGATTTATGTTCTATGTGCCAGAGGCCACAATCTTGTATGTGTTTCAAATGTCAATTAAATTTTTTACTTGTACAAAATTGCATTCATAGATGGTGTTCGATATGTGAGACATGCCCATGTTACCATTGTTTTTTGTGTTTTCTGAACAAATATGTTTTTGGCACATAGAACGTTTGACACATTCACTCTTCAAATATGATACATAACTTACTTTCTTGTCATTTGTTGAATACCACGTTTAAGTTTATTAAACGTTATTTTTTCTTTCCTACTATACATCATTGAAGTCATTGTTTCCATTGATTTAAATAGTTCATCTAAAACTCTATATTTGAATGGCAGAGGTAAAGCTTTAGTGTCAGCCAAAGAGCTATACTTTTTTGAGGGAGACATAGCTAAAAGTGTTCCAACTTCATCCAATAATTTTCTAGGTGATACATACTCTTTGGTCTGTGGTATTTGGACTACAGCTATCATTTTTCTAGGACTAACCATTGCTTGAGTAGGACTAGCAAATAACGCAGTGGGCTTTAAGTTATTCCTTTTGACTGGACTTAATCCCATCTTTATAGGACTAGTGTCTACCATAAGATCAACGGATTTAAAAGAAGACAAATAATGTTTTTTAGCAGTTTCTGTTTTAGTTTCAGCAGCAAGTAGTTCATTTTGACATTGTTCTATATTGTTCAATTTGTCTTGTAGCTTTTTAAGATTTTGTTTTTTGCGTACAATCTTACGAAATTCACCCAAATCCAAATCCTTTTAAAAAGGAATAAAAAATTATTAATCTTGAATTAATTAGTTAAATACCAATAATTTACATGGTATACTATTTTATGCATTTTATTTAAGACATATCTTAAGAAAAACTAATATCCATTTATTGAATAGCATAAGTAACTAATTACTTAATAATAATTAATAGTACAATAATTATAATGCAATTAACATTTCATTAATAATTTTATTAAATTATATTAATAAAGTTTACTTTGCGTAATTGAACTCTTGTTGATGGAGATTGCACTGGAGTAGTTGGTCTATCAACTTCAACATCAATTTTGTTTTCAATTTCTTGTGTAACAACATTATTAGGTTTATCATCACAAAATACTGATGTTACAGCTTCAGATTGAGTCTACAAAATAAATTGCAATTAATATGAACAATTGTAAGTAAAATTGAAAACAAATTTCACAATTGTCACAAACCAAATTTTGAACAGCAATTATTGTTTAATATTATGAAACTTGAAAAATAAATTATGTATTGTTTTTTAGTATTAATTTTAAAAGGCCTTAAATACAAATTACTTTTTTTTAGAATCACATGTCAATAAATTTTTATTTTTTTTTATATAAGATTACAATTTACATAGAGAAAATTATAATTTACCGTTTCTTTAAATTGCTAAAGGTTTTATCTATATGCTAATCTATTTCTAATAATATTAATAATATGTATTAATATATAAACTTCTATTTAAATTATTTTAAATATATATAATGTTAATTTGACCTTTTCTCGCCATTAGAAAAATTTTACCAGATGGACAACTCACAACTAATAATATATAGATCATTATTTAGGAATTTATCTTGTTATAAAATTAACTTTTTAGTTCAAGACTGGAACAAATCAAAGCAGGAATATTTTTGAAAATTTGAAAAAAAAAATTGTCATATAAACCCTTGTATAAAATTAATGATTTCCAAAAAACCTACCTATTAGAGAATAATTTAGGTATGTGACATTAAGATGACCATTTATCATGAAAATTCTTTGGTGCCACCCTCTAAAATTGTTTTTCATGTTCTTTTTTCTCTCATTTATCCCAACTACTTGGGGTCTGTCACCCTTATCCTTAACTTTCACTTGACAAGATTCTCCCACATCACCAACATACACATCATCCGTCCTCATATTACATTCAATAACATCCCTCTCTCTTTTTTGGTCTTCCTCTACCTCTTCTTCCCTCAATATTTTCACAACTGTTCTTATAGCTTTCTTCTTTCCTCATAAAATGACCAAACCATCTAAGTTTATTTTCTCTCATCTTATCCAAGATTGACACTACAACTATACTCCTTCTTATATGTTCATTCGTAATCCTAACTTCCCTAGTCAATCCATTCATCCATCTAAGCATTCTCATCTCTACTACATTCATTCTCTGCTCTACTTTCTTGTCAACTGCCAATCACTCTGAACCATACATCATTGTTGGTCTCACTACAGTTTTGTAGAATTTACCTTTCAGCCTCATTGGAATTCTTTTATCACATAAGACACTTGACGCTTCTCTCCACTTCAACCTCCCGCACTTAATCCTGTGTCTTACATTCTCGTCAATACCACTGCTCTTTTGCACAACTGACCCTACCCTCATTTTACCTACTTCGTGTTCTCCTTTGTCAAACTCGTACTCTATAAACTCCGTCTTGCTTCTACTTTTTCTTAAACCCTTTTCTTCAAGAGCTGATCTCCACACCTCTAGCCTTTGATTAACTTCCTCTCTATTTTCTCCTATTAATATTATATCATCAGCGAACATACACTACAGTATCTCTCCTAGTATTTCTCTCCCCTAGAATTATTGGAAAACATAAAAAAATAGTAATACAAAATGTGTTGACAATTAGTTTATTTTAAGGTGTACCCTGAGAGAAGGTTAAAAATGAAACCCTAAGAGTAGTTTTTTTATCCAACATTTCCACTATCATATGCTTTTTCTAAGGGCTATATATATATATTTTTTTCATGTTTTTCATTAAATTTATCAACACCTAAGACACAATTAAACTGTCCCTTTTCTCTCTAAACCAACAATAATTGTTTGTCAACTTTCATTTTAACTACGCTTAAGCATCAGAATTGGTGATATTAAAAAAGTTATCAAGAATTTATAAATTCCTTTTTATTTTTAGAATTTGACTTTCTAGTAGCATGTTTTTACAACTATCTCCATTTATTGTACAATGAATGGATCAATAATCAATGTAGCCTTTGAATAATAAATAGGAGAAAAAATATTTGACATAAAATTTATAAAAAGAATTATTTTTAAACAAATTTTGCGTTAAACATTTTTAAGTGGATGGTTTACAAAATAAATTAAACTAACAGTTTTGACCATAAAATTGAAAATTTGCTTTTTAATTTTTTATTTGGCAAAATAAAAGACTTTTCAAAAATTTTTGTAAATATATTTTTTAATATATATTTACAAATTTATTATTTATTATCTCTATTTAACTAAAATTAAATTTTAATTGTATTCTATGTTCACATATTTATTAGTTAATTCAGTTATTGATGATGATAATCCAAGGTTTTAATTGTGACTTTTTATGCGTGTTAATATTTTGATGATACTTACTTGAAAATTTTAAACTTAAGTAGAAGGAAAAGAATAATTAAAATAAATAAAAAGTATAAAATATTACTTTTAACTTGGAATTTCATAAAGATAATTTAAAAAAAATAATCACCTTTAATTTCTTTGCAGAAAGAGAAGCAATTTCATCATCTTCAAACAATAATTTCCTACTAGGTTTTCCAATTCCAAAATTATTAGATTCAATTAAACCTTTTTTGTGAATAATATCGTCATTAGCAGGGCGTTTTCTACTTTTAATGAAGCCATCCAAAGTCTTCTGTTGAGTTTCCATCTTTAAATTTTATTGAGTAATTCGGTAATCAAACAAATTATCAACCTATATAAAACAAATAAAACAAGAGACGACAAAGTAAGATGAAACAGTACCTACCATGACAAAATGGATATATTTTGTTATGGTACCTACAGAATTAACTAATAGGATCTAAAGTAAATTAAAAATTCTTTCAGAATAGGCACTTTTAATATTTATTTGAATGATGGGTTTTCTGAGATTTGTTCAGTACCAACTACCTACTCTGTCGCCACATATTAATAACGTAATGATACAGTATAAAATGTAATAAAACCACCAACAATGCAGACGGTTGAACTAAATGAACAGCACACATTTGTTTGATCAGATTTTAAAACTCTTTGGAAATATGGTTATCACTTAATTTGTGCGCCTATCACAATCGGAACGGGATTAAGTTGGCGGTTAGGTTTATGCTCATAAACAAAGAACTATCGTGGTCGTACCTCTTTATCTGTTCGTTATTCGTTAAAAAAATTTGTATTTGATACATACATATTAGCAAGTCACACTCCAAATTAGTTATAGTGCAGTACACACGTGAAACTTTGATGCGTTATTTATTATTTATTGATCCCGTATAAAGAAAGGTAAGTTATTATAATTTATTTTTGCAGTTCATTTTTTCAATTTTCTTATACGTTTTTATTATTTTATTGTTGTTTAGTAATAAATTTATCAAAATGAGCGACGCTGAAGTTGTTCAAGTCACCAGCCTGTTGGAGCGAACAATCTCTACAGATAAAGACGAACTTAATCAAATTCAAAAATTTTTAGAACATGCTGCCCAAACAAATCTTCTTGGTTTCCTAAAAACGTTGTCAAATGTTCTTTTATTTTCAGTTAACAATCCAGTTGCTCGAATTGCTGCTGGTCTTCAAATAAAAAATCATATTACATCTAAGGATGAAGCTGTTAAAGAGCAAATGAAACAACGTTGGTTATCATTTCCTGAGCAAGATCGTGTTTTTATAAAAGAAAACATATTTAAGGCACTTGGTACTGAGAGTCGTCCTAGTTCAGCAGCTCAATGTGTTGCCAGTGTTGCTATTATTGAGCTACCACTTAACTTATGGCCTGGCCTAATTGCTTCACTTGCTTCAAATGTAACTGATCCTAATTCTTCTGATCTATTAAGAGAAGCTTCTTTGGAAACTATTGGATATATTTGTGCAGATACTGATAGAGAAGTTTTAAAATCTGAATCAAATACAGTGTTAACTGCTATTGTTCATGGTATGACCCAAAATAATATTAATGTATGTTTTGCAGCAGCCACAGCTTTATACAATTCATTAGAGTTTACTAAAGGAAATTTTGATAAGAAAAATGAGCGCGATTATATCATGGAAGTTGTCTGCAAAGCTACACAATCTCCTGAAACTCAAATAAAAGTTGCAGCTCTCCAATGTCTTGTTAAAATTGTTTCACTTTATTATGAACATATGGAACTTTACATGTCTACCTTGTTTCCAATAACTTTGGAAGCAATCAAATCTGATTTAGATGAAGTCGCTCTCCAAGGAATTGAATTTTGGTCAAGTGTTGCAGAAGAAGAAGCTGACCTTATGTATGAAGGGCAATGTCAAGATTCTACTCCTGAAAAAAAACTCATGATGTACTCAGAAGGAGCATTAGAATTTATCACTCCTGTCCTTATGGAAAAGCTTACTAAACAAGAAGAAGGTGACGATGATGATGACTGGAACCCGTGCAAATCAGCTGGTGTTTGTGTTATGTTATTAGCAACTTGTTGTCAAAGCAATATTGTACCTCATGTAATTCCATTTATCAATGCCAATATTGGTAGTCCTGATTGGCGTTATAGAGATGCTTCAGTTATGACTCTTGGATCAATACTAAGTGGTTTAGATCACAATGCATTAGTTGAACTATTGGAACCAAATATTCCGATCCTTGTACATTTGATGTATGATACTAGTGTTGCTGTTCAAGATACTTGCGCGTGGACATTTGGTCGTATATTTGAATTTGTACCCGAGCTAATTATTAATTCTCCTTGCTTAAGTGATATACTTAGTGTATTTATTAAAGGTCTTAAATCTGAACCTCGTGTAGCTACTAACATCTGTTGGGCATTCAGTAGTTTAGCTCAAACCACAGGAGAGGAAATGACATTTTTAACCCCATACTTTGAATATGTTGTACAAGGTTTGTTAGAAACGACAGAAAGAGGTGATGGAATGCGTTCAAATTTAAGATCTGCAGCTTATGAAGCATTGATGGATATGATTAAGTTCTCACCAGCTGGCTGTTATGAGACTGTTAAACGTACAACACTTATTATTTTAGGTAGATTAAATCAAATAATTAATTTACAAACGGTAAATGAAGATTGTTTGGATATGCAAGGACTTCTATGTGCAACATTGCAAAGCGTTGTACGAAAAATGAGTAGTGATGATGTAGAAAAAGTTGCTGATACTATCATGAATGCACTTTTGGTTATGTTAAGTACAAGTAAAGATAGTGGTCTTCAGGAGGATGCTCTTATGGCTATAAGTCCATTAGTTGAAAATCTTGGCAAAGGGTTTAATAAATACATGGAATATTTCAAGACTTATTTGTTCATAGGATTACAAAATAATATGGAATTTCCTGTTTGTTTAGCAGCCATTGGTATTGTTGGGGATTTATCTAGAGCATTACGTGAAGATTTTGCTCAATACTGTGATCAAGTTTTTGCTTTATTATTTGAAACTCTAAGAAACAATACTGTTAACAGAAATTTAAAACCTCAAATTTTATCTACTTTTGGAGACATTGCCCTTGGTATTGGTGCAGAATTTAAAAAATACTTAGATCATGTTCTAAATGCATTGGTTCAAGTTGCACAACTTCAATTAGATCCTAATGATGTAGATATTATAGATTATCTCAATGATCTTAGGGAAGGTGTTCTAGCTGCATACATTGGTATTGTCCAAGGATTGAAAGGTGAAGACCTTACACCAAACCAAGATGTATATTTACTTGAAGCTCATCTCCCTTTCATGGTTCAATACATGATATCTATTTGTTCCGATCCCAATGCAAATCCAGGAATTTTAAAAAGTTGTTGTGGTCTTGTTGGAGATTTATGTACTGCTTTTGGAGCAAAGGCATGTCCAGTTTTAGATAATGGAGAAGTACATAATTTGTTACATAAAGGACGTCAATCAACAGACACAACTGCAAAGAACTTAGCACGCTGGTCTGCTAAAGAGCTACAAAAAATTAAGACTCTTGTAGTGTAAATATGTCCTATTTTAAACACTAGACTAGATTGTTTGTCTTCTGGTATGATTGTCTGTATTTATAATTTGTTTTTTCTTTTTTGTATAAGTGGAACCAATATGTATCTGTGATAATGTATAAATGTTTGGGTAAATGTGCTACTCTATAATTTTTATTCCTATTAGCTTATGGATTTTTACTTATATTAGTTTACTATCTCTGAGCTCATTTACTCAGCTCGTATGACTGAATGTTGATCAAAATATTATTTTTTAATCGAATATTTAATTTGTACATATAAATTAATAAGAAGTAAGGTGCCTAGTTTTATTTTAGAATGTCTCTTATTTTCCAAATGCCTATATTTTTGTTTGTATGGCCACTTAGTATAAATGTAAATCTATTTTATTTTTATGTCTGTCTGAAAAAGAAATAAAATGTCAAAATCTTATTGTATGAAAGTATTCAAAACTTAGATTATAGATAATTATTTATTATACATTATTTTTAGATCAGAAAACATTTTTTTTTTACACAAATATTTTGAAAAAAATTATATTATCTTAACGATTGAGTAGATACTATTTATAATAAATAATTTAATTTTTATTTGGTTACTATTTCATTTTTATTATTATTACAAAGCAATGGATTAGTTCATTGTTGATGAATTAAAAAATACTTGTAAGAACAATGTAAATTGTAATTTCAATTATTAAAAAATTATTTAACCAATCTACCTTTTTTTTTTTGTCTTTCCCTACCTCTTCTTCATTCAACATTAATTTTACTTAATTAATTAGCCACAAGTGATCAATTTTTATTATATATTAATTTCGATAATTTTTCTTACATTTCTGAATTAGATTATTTCTTATTTTATAAGCTATTTAAATATGTATGTTACATAATAATTATATTGCCACTTAAAAGAATAATGATGTTATTCCTATCAGGTCCGGATTGAGGGAGGGAAATAATTTTTCAAAACGACACTTATTGTGGGTATTAAATGGTCATGAATTAAATATTTGTTAGCTCTAATACGATATCTCGTAGATCAAATTGTATATTTTGTTCTTTAATCTGTATCATATGTTTTGAGTATAAAGATTAATAAATACTCAAAACACTAATGGCTACAAAATTTATAAGAGGGCCTAATATAAGTTTTAAAGAATAAATCATTTTTGTTTTTTATTACGACATATGGTCTTTTAATTATAAAACTTGGAATATTAAATCACTTTTGATAAGAGTAAAAACAAATGAAAAATATTTATTTCTGTAACGTCACAAATTTGAAGGTGGACTATTTATTATGTCTAATTATCGATATTTTTTTATAGCGCGAATGAACCCTTTTTGACGCAGCTGTGTCTACAACTCATTATTTGATTGCTAGTAGATAAAGCGATAAGGGAGAATAAATACAATTAAAATCAAATTGTTTATCGACATTGATTCCTCGTAAAAAAATTGGCCATTATCGATTTGAAATTAGGAATGGTCTAAAACACGGACTGTCCGCTACTGACGAGAACTTCCAAATAATTCTAGGGGACGCAGTTATACTATATAATAACTACTGACGTATATGCTATTGCCGCCCGTCCGCTGCAGCGTGTTCGCATGACAACCGTCCGACCTCTAATATATGTTCTGCGCTCATAAAAATTGCAAATCTGCTGTGTATAAACCGGGGCAATTTCGTAGAGGCAATGGAGATATACACATCCCTCAAAAATTTTTCACAGAAATAAAATTTTAACTTTAAATTCTAAAAAGATTGTAAAAATTGTGTATAGTCGATGATAAGTTAATAGATTTTATAACCTATGACTTTTGTTAAAAATTTTTAATTATTCCTATTTTTAATCAAATCTTTGGTAAGGTTACATAAACACAAGATTCTATTCAATCCATCGAAAATTAACTACTTAAGTATTTAAAATATTAAAATTAAATTAGGATCATTTGACATGCATAATGTCAAAACTAATAATGTGAAAATTTAAATAGGCGAACTTGTTTATAATGTGACATGTTCGTAAAATTTTTAATGATCATGTTGGGTTTTATTAAATTCAATTGAAATTTTGTATGTGAAGGTTTATTTTTATTTTCAAATATTAAATATGCCAAAATTAGCCAGCTAGCAGTGTTGTAAAAAATACTTTTAAAAAGTATTTTAAAAGTAATTACTCAGATAATTTTCAAAATAAGTATTTAAATTTCCACTCAATTACTATTGATAATTATGTATTTAAAATAATCTTCAAATAATAAAAAATTTGTTGGTTGCACTTTAAAAAATTATTTATTCAAAATGTGTTATCAGAAATGTTAATCCTTTTTTTAGTGATTGTAGCACCACTAAAACTAAAATCTTTCAACTGATGTACTGCTTACAAGAGGAGTGTTGTATTTAATGACAAACTAAAAAAAGTACACATTTTTTTAGTTAAATTATACTACTTTTATTTATTCTAAGTATCCAATTAATCTTACTTTTTCATTGTAGGTAAATTATGTAAAAATTCTAATGTTTTTGCTTTAGATGTACCCAAGAATCAGTCAATTTCATCACTAACTTTTCCTCATAAACATTTTATGTCCTGGTAAAGAAGCTAGATAAATCATCATGAATTTGGTCATAATCTGTAGAATCATTTTCACTAATATTTTGGTGCAATTCATAACAGGCATATTTTAAATACTCGGTGGCTATTAGTTTTTTTACTTCATTTTTAATCCAGTCAGTTTTAAATTGTGGGGAGCAGACAGCAGCAGCAATTAAAAATTTGTTCATCAAAGAATCAGAACACCTTGTTTCTATACCTAAAAGAAGAAAGTAACACTTAAATATTAATATCAACATGGTTTATTTTTATTATACTACTTAATGTATAAAAATGTAAATATTCAGAATAAAACAATGAAAATATAATAAATTAAAATATGTAGGAATATGAGATACTAAACAATATTATAGAACAAAATTAGCTAACATAAAAATAATTAAATATGTAAAATAGTAAATGTACTTGGCAGTTAAAGTATATTTAAGTATTATTTTTCACAACATAAACAACTAATATTTTTTTTTGAGATAAATTCTCTTAAAATTATAATGCTTTATAGTTATTGTTATTACATACATTTTAGTATAGCAGTTACTAGACCTTGCATATAATTATGAATTGTGTGTTGTGTCAATGGTCCATATTTATAAATTACTTTTCAATAGTAGGTAAGAGATTACCAAAACATTAGTTAGTATCGCCTTATGGTAATTCAAGGCTCATTGAAATTGGTACCATTATTTTTTGACATTGATTTAAACATTTAATGTCATATCTATTAAATCTGAAAATATATATATATATATGGTCAATGAAACAATAAATTATTTTATTTTAGTATTAATCACATAATAGCCAATTCATCCATAATAATTCTAAATTTAAATTCATTAATTTTAATTAATTTATTAAGCAACACCACTGCATTATAAACTAAATTATAATGTGTCTTGTTGGGTGTTATTAAATAAACACCAAGATTTTATTTGATTAAATCAGCTAATTTGGTTGAGTGCCATTGTTTGTTTCACAAAATAATTGACTTGGCAAACAATAATTCTGGACTGTTTTATAAAAGCAGCATTAGATAAAGTTTCTTAGAGTCCTTTGAAAAACAGAAATTGTTAATTAAACAAATAAAGTATTTGATCTAAAATGTTACTTTTTAAATGTACTATGGATAGTTTATTTTATGGATAGTTGGATATTTATTTTTATTTACCACTGTTGCTATCAAATTGTGTGTGTATAACATTGGTGATTTTGGGTAACTTATAATGATAATTTTGTTCCTCAATATTTAGAATGTTCAAATTGATTACATCAATTTTTTCTATTTCATTATCTACTTCTACTAAATAGTTCACAAGCAACTGATTAGAAATTTGAATAGTTTCATCATCAAGTCATGACACCAATGTTCTAAAAAATATAATAAGGATTAAATTCAAACTAATTTAAAATCATGATTTTCCATTAATACAAATGAAAAAGTTTATAATTTCGGATGTATGCATGGGCGCACGCAGGGGGTGAAGAGGAGGCGTTTGCCCCCCCCTGGACTTTGGAAATACATTTTTAAATTTGTTATAAATTATAACCAATCTGATTTAAATTTGTATAATCTGAAAATTTTTATTTAGTAATGACTCATGAATATATATAATAATTATATATATATATTTTGCAATTTTCAGTTAATAAACACTTTATTTAATGTTACTTTTTGGTATTTAATTTTTTTTGGCCCCCCTGATAAATTTCCTGCGGGCGCCCATGGCTGTATGTTATATAAATTAAAAATATGAGCAATACCAACATAAATAATTTTATAGTTATTAATTATATAATTTGAATATATCTTATTTCAAACATTTTACAAAATTAGAACCATTAAATATAGTACAATAACATAATTTATCTAAAATTTCAAACTGTGTGTATACTTTATCTATAACTTCAGCTAAGATACCATATGTATGTGACCCTTTTAGTTTTCTCAGTGTTAAAAGATGAGTTGTTCCTAATAAATCCCCTTTGATCCATGTGACTGTTATTCCAATGTACAATCTAACAAAATATATTATATTACTACCTATAAAATCTGTTGATTAGGTATCTATACAAATAAAAGTAAATCTGTTATTTACTTTTTAAAAATCAACTAACCATCTGCAGTTTGGTTTATTGCAATATTACATTAAAACATCTTAGATTTTATTTTGAAGGAAAATTTATGAATGTCATTCTCAATACTTTTTATTAAAGTAGGCCGAGACATAAGTTTTCTGTTAGGGATAACTTATTCAATTAATTCCTTTAAAACAGGATTTTCAATTATTCTAAATAGTAAATTAACACTTATAATAAATTGTTGCTGTAGTTGATCTAGATCTAGATCTAAATCAAAATTATATAATATTGATGACTTGATAAATGTCACTAAAATAAAAAATTACTATGCATATTCTTACGTTGATTAGTAAAATTTTTTTTGCTCAAAAAATCCTCCAAAACCAGCTGATTTATCTGTTTTTCTTCAAATTATTTTAAAGCATTAACACTACTGTCTTTCAGTGATCCATCATTACACCTCTTTTAAGTTTTTTTCTCCGCTCCAATATGATCAATAATTTTTAATATATTTGCATGTTGATTCTGAAAACAGTTAAATAATAAAACTTTAAAAGTTTTAATTAATATATAAATTTTTAATTTACTGCATTCTAGTATGACATAAAATAGTGATCAATTGGATTTTATTTGTTCAAATTTACAAAATCCAATAATTATAATATTAATTTCAATAATAGAAACTGTAAGTTACAAAAGAAAATATATAAAGCAAAAAGTTCAAAAATATAATTAAACTTAAAAGAAATATAGTACAATAGAAAATTTTATGTTAGACTTAACATAAACTAAGTAAAAATTCTAATATCAAAACTTTCAAAGATTATAATAAGATTAAATTTTTTCTTTAATTTTATCTATATTATATTATTATATATAAAATAATTATTAACAATAATAAAATTAATAATAATTTTGGAATTATTGATAAAAAAATATTCCACTTTTGCTATTTTTTTAAACTTTCTATGTTATTATAATAGTATAGAATGAACTACCATCAGTGAGTATGCTTAAAAACACAATGGTCATTTGTTCAAAGTATAAAAACTTTTAAAAACTATAAAATTTTTTATTTTCATTCATACCCATCCCATCCTTCCTTATTAGGAAATTAATTTAAAATATTTAATTAGTTAAATTTATTAAGTAACACAATCTTTATCATAAACCTAAGTTTCTAAAGAAATGATGCCTCGTTTTGTGATACATTTTCTGTAAGACCACTTAATTATTGTTTCATCAAACCTTCAAATCCAATAAAGCATTTCTTTATTGTAGATATTGTTTAAAACATTATTAGCTAATATTATAAAAGTAATATATTAAATTAAAGAATGTTACAATTGGGAATATTTAGTAAAAAAAATATCATAGGTATTTTGTTTGAAATTAAAATAAATTATTCAGTTGTCAATGTGTTGGACGATGTCTCTTTAACGTTCCTTAAATAATTTTACCATACAGCATATTTCACTAAAATTTATTTAATTTTTATTTAAGCTAATTCTAAAATAACTTACAAATTCAATAAACTACTGTACTTTTAAAAATATAATTAAATTATTTACTTTTGAGAAAAAAAATGCTGAAAATTTCCTGCACTCATGGGTCGCTTGAACCAACCGTGAAACAAATATAATGCTACTCGGATGTAATCCAGATTGAATACTTTAGTACTTATATGACATTATTTTATTTGTTTTTAACAGACTTCAAAAATAGGAGCATGTAATAAAATTTGGTAGTATTGTTTTGTTCATTACTTCGGAACTCCACCATTTATAAACCAATATCGAAAATTTTTTTTTTATTTAAAAATACGTGATTTTAAATTAGTCCAATAAAAATTTCATCAAAATCGCTTTTATAGTTTTTAAATTAAAATTATGTCATCAAGTGAACGAAATTGCGTATTAGATCGCTTTCCTGTGAGACCAGTGGTATTGACGGTCGCTAAAATAGATCCAAATGAACTACCTATCTTCCGGCTTCATTATCAAGTAATACTTTATAATTAAAAAGTAGAAATATAAAATTTATACAAAGAAAAATACCGATCATTAAATTTGCTTTGAAAAAACTCACTAATAAGATAAAAATAAATCAAATTAGAATTAGAATAAAATCAATTAAATTAATTTTATTCTTGTAAATTTTATAAGAATAATGATATAAATTTTTAATATTGTTGGAGTCGGTTCCAGCCAATGTAAACAAACGTGTATAAATGTGTTTCATAATCAACAAGACAGCAAACATTTGACTTGAACATCACGCACGGCGTACATGGCGGACATATACTGAGATGACGGAAGGGTAATAAAGTTGAGTAGCGACCTAAATGCTCGTTAACGTGGTGGGCAGATGTTGTTGACTGTCGGTATTTATAAATAAATTAATGGTGATAAAATGTTATTTAATTTAGTAAAATCTTCTTATGCTATTATTGTTTTGAAGTAAAAGTAAAAAACAACAGCTATTGATATTTTTTAAAGAAAATGCTAATTTTTATACCTATTAGCTTCGACCGTAGCTAAGAAGCTATTGGTCATACTCTGCTATTATAATTAATTTTTTGTGTGTCCCTGTGCGCAATTATTCCGCTCCTACTGGACCAATTTTGCTCAACTATACGTTAAAAGATCACAAAACATATTTATTTGAATGATACATGAATTTAAAATAAATTTCTGTTATATAAAATGCTTTTCTAAACTTTAACATACGTTTTTGAAAATCATATCATTAACCAAAGTACTGGAAAGGGAAAAAATCATAACAAATTTTTGATAATGTTTCAAAAAACCTGTTTTCTTTAAATCTACGTTAAATTAAAGTTAAAACAATATACTTTTAGGTAACAAAACATAAATTATCCGAAAATTCGATTTCTGGAAGTTTTTGAGTATTTTAGGAAAATATTTAAAAATGTATAATAGTATTTGTGCCAGTATGACGAATATATTGTCATTGTTTGACGTTGTTAATAAATAATAGTCAATTTATTTGAATAAAACGTTAAATCTGACTTGGTAATTTGTGGCAGTTATCAATGAGGTCAGAAAAGTAATAATATTGATAATTAATTCTAATTCTAATATGACTTACTTTATTCTATTTGGTCGGTTTTGTTCTAAGTTTTACATAGAAAAAACCGACCAAAAAAATGTTATAAATATAAAATACAAATTTTATATTTGTTCAAATATTTAATATACATGGACGGATTTAGTAAAGGATTTTATTAAAACTTGCCTCGTGACACTCATTTTCGGGGCCCTCAGACATGATCGCAAAAAAATTAATTCAGCATCTTTAAAGTTTTAATGATCCTCGCATATCATAGATTTAACCATCCCCTCTCTTTAAAAAACAAATTAAATATTATGTTAATTTTTACACAAAAAAAAAAATTATAGATGGTGGGGATTCAATCATCCATTATAAAATATTTTTTTATGGAATCAAATCAAATCTAAAATATTGGGAAGGGGGTTTATGTTTATATGCTCCTCTTCCCATAAATTATCTACGCCTCGTGTATACACCTTTAATTTGTAGAAGCTACTTAAAATGTCATGCACTTCAATCAATTTTTTTTTAACTTTTGAGCAATCCATACAAACGGTCCTGTATACAAGATGGATGTGACGGAAGGTATTATGGAAACTTGCCACGTGCACATATTTTTGAGATCCTCGAACATCAATCGAAAAAAAAAATAACCTATTAAACGTTATAATGATCTTGGCTAATCGTATATGCAACTAAAGGGGTTAAGGCACCTCTGCTACTTAAAATTGTTTATGCTCCAATCATTTAAAAATTGAAGCTTAAAAAATATTAATAGTTTTTAAAGTTGTGAACTTCATAAATATATAAAACTGTTGATTAAAATTTGCTTGAAATATTACAAAAAACAATTTTAATTAATTTACAATGTGATTGATTAATCATTGACTACTAAATTTCCCTAAAACAATAATAATTTTGGAATTATTTTTTTGTCTTTGTTATGTTCATTTGATCTTTCAATTTATAAGTGACAATTTATAAATAGAAAATTATTTAGTTAAGTAAATGAATGATCAATAACAATATTTGGACCAGTACTTAGTAATTTATTAACATATTTATACTTAGACAAGTAGAAGAATGCGACCGAAAATGTGTAATGATAAAATCTGATTACTAATTAACTACAAGAGAGTAATTGTAGAGTACTAAATTAAAAACTAAACAATAGATTGACAGCAAATTCGTTAATTATTTTGAATTCGATGGACAGATATTTGAGAAAATTAATACTGAAGTCAAACGAGTTAAGTAGTAAGAACGACAAATTCAAACAATCGGAACGTAAATCGCTGGGCACATGTTAAGATAGCAGGAAACCAATCTTTACCAATAATTACTCAGTTGTTCTTTCGTGTCCCGTGGGTTAGAAATAAATTAATAAGCAAACTGGCAACGTTGCTTTCATACGTCTGTATAATTACAAGGGACACAGCGTTGAAATCATTCTTAAGGCTTATGAATTCTACACGTCGCCAATTTTCTTATTAACTTATATTTAATTGGAATTTGTCGCCGTTTTAAAAATATCTATTTAATCTGCTGAAAACGGTTGTCTGAATTTGTCGCTCAAATATACTAAAATCATTGCTATTAATAGACCGTCCGGTTATGTTATTTTTCTATTTGTTATTGGTCGCCTATTAGTATAGTAAATAAATTGCATTTATAAAATGTTGATTATTATATCGGCTTCTTCAATTTTTGTTACAAATTATTCAAGCACAACTTTTACTACATTAAAGTACTTCTTTTTTTAGTGGATATGTTTTTTTATGCTTGATAAAAGTTTAAAATTTTCTTTTTCATTTGAGACTAAATATATATTGTAATTTATATTAAACTTAATCGGTTATGCGTTTAAATAAATTTTGTTTAAACTTTATATTAAAATTTGAAAGTATTAGTAATTTTTTATAAAGTTGTGAACTTAATAAATGTATAAAACTATTAAATAAAAATTGTATGAAATATTACTAAAATTATTAAAGTACTAATCTAAGAAATATTTTTTTTTTTTTGCTTTGTTGAGTACTATTTATTTCTGAATTTATAAAAGGTTAAATACCTTTTAGGTTGGTCCTTTATCTCTTATTAGGATACAAACCTTATTTTTTTTAATAATACATTATTAACTTAATTACAAAATAGAAAATGTCCTAATTTAAAAAATGACTGGTCGATGATAACTATTAGACCAGTGCTTCGGAAATTAGAGATTATACATATAATGTAATTAAAAATAATTTAATCGGTCATGCACTCTAATAACTTTTAAATTAAAATTTAAAAAATTGTTTACAATATTGTGTACTTAAAAAATGTATAAAACAGATAAATAAAATTGTGTGAAATATAACTAAACATATTTTTTAAATATTGTTTAATTAGCTTTAAAGAGTAATTTATTTATCATTAACCACTAAATTTTTCCTAAAGTAGTAACAATTTTAGAAATATTTTTTTTGTCTTTATTTAGTAATATTTATTTTTCGATTTATATATGATTATATACTTTTTAGGTTCGTCCTTTATCCCTTATAAGGACACCATCTTTTTTTTTTTTTTAACGGCAACATACATATTGAGTTATTTCTAAGATAAAAATGTAAAACTAATTATTTAAAAATAATTTAGGATCAGTACTTATTACTATTTTTATATTTAGATGGGTTAAAAATGCGCAAAGATTAGAAATGTCTAATTATAAAAATAATCAAATCCAAATACTAATATACTATAAAAAAGCAATTGTAGAGTAATAAATTTAAAACTAAATATCGAATTGACAATAAATGAATTGATTATTGTTAATTGGATGGTTAGGTATTTGAGAAAATGATTACTTAAGTTAATCGAGACACACGTAGTAAGAGCGACAAATTCAAATATTCAGATGAACAAAATTAAAGTGTCATAAATGTATAGTATAGTGAACATATTTTACGACCGAACGCAACTCTACTGTCAAATGGCAAGATAAACGGCTCTTATTTTAATATTCACTCTATTATGTTTTCTCTGGACCAAATTATAGAAATAAGTGTATAAGTAAACTGACAACGTGGAAATAATAAGCGTAAGAACGTTTTTAACGCTCTGTAACTTTTAACTGTATAGGTTTATCAAAGCAACGTTGTCAGTTTGCTTATAACATACCCTTTATTTGAATTTGACGCTTTCACTAACCCACCCAATTGATTTCAGTATTCATTTTCTCTAATATCTGACCATAGAATTTATGAATGAATTTGTCGCCGTTTGAAAAATATTTTCTCCATCTTCTGAAGATGGTTGTTTAAATTTGTCGCTCAACACATAAACTAAAATTATTGCTATTAATAGACCTTCCGGACTGTCTTATTTTCTTATTTGTTATTTATTGGCCATTAGTATTGTAAATAAAATATATTTGTATAATGTATGCTGATTATTATGTCGGCTTATTCAATTTTTGTTACAAATTATTTAAGCACCACTTTTACTACATTAAAGTTATTGTTTTTTGTTCTATTTTTAGCAAAACTGTTTGTTATGCTTGATAGAAGTTTAAAATTGTCTTTTTATATTTTATTTGTGATTGTATAGATATGATTTATAATAATTTAATCGGTTATGCAATCTAATACTTTTTAATTTAAAATTTAAATATATAAACAATTTTTTACAAAATAGTGAACTTAATAAATGTATAAAACTGCTACATAAATATTGCGTGAAATATCACTAAAAATATTTATTTAAAAAGTTCCATAAAATATTTATATATATATATGTTATTTAATTAATTTTACAGTTATTTGAATTATCATTAACCTCAACATTTTTCCTAAAGTAATAATAATCTTAGAAATATTTTGTTTGGCTTTATTGATTACTATTTATCTTTCAATTTATCAGTGGATAAATATTTTTTTAGTATGTCCATTATCGCTTATAAAAAAGTTCAAACTTAATTTTATACATTATATATTTATTGATACATTTTTAACTTACTTAAAAAAAAAGAAAATGGTCTAATTTAAAAAATGACTGGTGGATAATAACTATTGGACCAGTATTTCGGTAATTATTAGTATTTTTATATTTAGGAAGATGGAAATGCGCGCCCGTGAAACGTCTAATGATAAAAATAGTCTTAAATATATAAGAGCAATAAATTAAAATCTACACAACAAATAGGTAACAAATTTATCGATTATTTTTAATTCGATAGACAGGTATTGAGAGCGACAAATTCAAATAACCGGTCGAACAAAGTATCATAAAGGTATAGTACAATTAATACACTGT